GTGGTAGCCTCCTATAAGTGATTGTTATGAGCTGATGATGTGTAATATTATGTGAAGTTTTGAGTGAATTATCTGAGCGCGATCATGCTTTAAATTTCCGCTATACGTATGCATGTGTTTAATTCATGTTGGAATTGTGTATTTCGCGTTTCGGGTACTTGATGGATGACTTCGCCCCATTGAGCGCGAACTTCGCATTTTGGGTGCTTGATGGAGGTCATTGCCCCGTTGAGCTTGCGTGCCTAATTTGCATGAATTATATATTATGATGTTAGACGACGGTTGCATGCACACTCTGTTATTTTCTATGGCCCATTACTATGATACGCCTAGGGATTTGCAGTTAGGAGCGACAAGTCACTCTAGCTAGACCTAATCTTCTCCTAGGAACTTAGCAAATTACTATGGTGACGAAGTACCTCAGGAGTGTTCATAGATTGCTAGTGTGTGAACGGTATCTATAGCTTCGTGGGAGGACCAGGGGTTCCTGACCAGTTCGTACTGCTCCTAGCCATTTAACATGGGAAATGTGTCTCCACGTCGTACAACCCATTAGCTGCATGGGAACGGGTTGGGTCGTGCCCCCCATAGGGGGACTATATGAGCTTAGGAGGTACTCAGCACACCCCTAGGCTAGATACCATGTAGTCTCATATAGTCATGCAGAGGTAGCGCCTCATAAAGAGATACTGGCCATATCAGCTCAGCGTAAGGAACCTTTAAGTATCAAATGAAAAGACGATGAACTGGTAAAGTCCAAGGGGCAAGCCCCAAGGGACTAAGATTAGAACCATATGTTCTATAATCAAATTAGGAGACCGTGGGAACCTGTTTAGTTAGGAAGCGATGAGAGCGTACAAGTAGGTGGCTTAATGAGTATAATTTTTAAACTCATCCTTGCTATGTTTTCCTTTTTCAGGAGTGTGAGGCGTCGGTCAAGGGCGGGCGTGATGGAGACGGGGATTGTCATAGATGAATGAGTTGTCCTGGGGCGTCAGTCCAGTCTTTATTTTGTATTTGAATTCTTTCGTAATTTATTTCCAAACTATTAATTATTTTTGTTTGTCGTTCAAAATTTTATTGGAAGTAAATGATTTTTCTCTATTGACTACTTAAATTATTTTGTGCATTCATGTGTCATTGTTAGTCACGGTCCATAGTAAAATATTGGGTCGTGACACACCGTATCCTATTTTTAAAATTATTATGAAAATTAAGAATATTTTATATTTGTTATTGATGTTAGTGATGTGTTGTGACTTGTGAATATTTGATATTGAAACTTTATGAAATAATATTTTCCGTAGAGTCGCTACCCGATGTAACTTCTTTATGTGGAAACATTCATTTAAATTGACTTCATAAAATGATGTCATGGACTTATAAGTTTTAGAAAGGGTCTAAAAACAATATAAAAGAAATATTAAAATAAAGGAAGGTAAATATAAAAATAACAATGCACTGTACTAACCTAAGATCTACTGAATTAAATACAACTACCGTATGTAAGTTTCATAGTCTTTGTTTGCAATTGTCATCGTAACCGTAAAAAGATGTCTTGCACGCAAACACATGCAATCATGGAACTTGAAAAACAAATCATTTGCAACAGCCCAAGTCCATTGCTAGTAGATATTGTCTGTTTTGACTTGTCACACAGTTTTAAAACGCGTATACTAGAGAGAGGTTTTCATATCTTTATAAGGAATACTTTGTTTCCCTCTCCAACCAATGTGAGATTTAACAATTCATCCCCCTTGAGGGCCCAACGTTCTCGCTAGCACATCGCCCGGTGTTGGGCTTTGATATCATTTGTAACAGCCCAAGGCTACTATTAGTAGATATGTCCGCTTTGGCTCGTTACATATCGTCGTCAGCCTCATGGTTTTAAAATGCGTAAACTAGGAAGAGGTTTCTACACCCTAGGAATCTTTCGTTCCCCTCTCCAACCAATGTGGGATCTAACAATCCACCTCCCTTGGAGGCCAACATCCTAGCTAATACACCACCCCGGTATCTGGCTCTGATACCATTTGTAATAGCCTAAGTCCACGACTAACAGATATTGTCTGTTTCGGTCTGTTATGTATTACCGTCAACTTCACGATTTTAAAACGCATATAAGCATAAGCATAAGCATTAAAGAAATCGCACTCTGTTTGAAGAGACATCCAACTAACATCCCAATTCTTTGTTTGAGTATTCCAATGCATTTTCTCCAAATTCCCTGGTCGAGCATTTCGAGTACTCTGATGAAAGATTTGTTGAGGATTATTGGGAGTGAGTTCCACCCTGACTAATTTAGGGAATGATCATGAGTTTAGAAGTAAGAAATTCACTCGAGTTTATGCTCAAAGTGGACAATATTATACCTTTATAATAAGATCAATAATATTTTATAAGTTTTGATACTTACTTCATGCATTAAAAATATATTTATAGTAAGGAAGACGAGGGTGGGACGGGTTAGGGAATTTGGCAGACATGGAAAGAAATCTCTCCCTACACCCTTCCCCATTTCCCGATCAATAGGGAATCCTCACCCCATTCAGGACAAGCACTCACGGGACTTCGACCTCATAGGTTAAATGGACATCTCGACTCACATGTCTTCACATGAATAATTTGGATCAAATCATTTTCCATACCGAATAATATTAAATTGCAAATAAAATATTTAATTATTATTAAATGATTATGTTATATTAATAATTTTGAATTTTTCAAGCACGTTATTAGTCTATTCTAAATGTCAACCCCAAATCTAGCTCGAGTTTTCATCTCGAGTCACTTGTCAAATAATTTCTAGTGTTCGGTCGTTCTTCTAAGGGTGAAAGCTTTTATTTACTTTCTTTTCTTTTTCTTTTTTCTTTTTTCTTTTTTTTTTGGAATTTTCACGATATTATGACTAACTTCTCTCTAGTTTCTCTATACTTAAGGTTCACTCTCGACTAGTTGTCTACTATGTCTTCAATCACATACGTAAATACTTGTATCATATTACTAGTTAAAACATGTTCGAAACTTATATACTTAGCAAGGTGACAAAACGGACGAGCTCATGTGTTCTCGTGCGCTTGCACACTCTCAACCACAAGCGCCCCACACGCATGCACTCCCACACGTCACATTTTTCCTTCGGGCAATAGCTGAAAATCTTGTTCACACGAAGAATTTTGGGTTGCTTAAATTTTTTTTCCGCTCCTCAAAACACCACAATAGCATAGTCCTTACTCGTATGAACTTAAAACGTCCTTCAAATGACCAAAACAACACCCAAACATATACAAATCATAGATTCAACCTTTCGATTTAATGGGTTTTTGGTTTCTGTTTAATTTCATTTTTCCTTCCAAACCTTATGCTTAAATAAGCATCTAATATAAGTCACGAGTATACATATCATATAGATCAACCAATGCATGCATATCTAATAGTTCGAAAGGTATTTAAAACACGATTAACCAATAGAAGAGTGTCGTACTTGAAATTCAAGCGGATCAATGAGCTAATACCGCTCCAATCCTCCTTAATTTAACCAAAATATTAGTAATTTCGTATCAAAACATCCTAAATTAGTGGATTTAAATGTAATTTCACCTACGACAAAAAAGAATTAGAGAAATATTAATATATAGTTGACCAACCTAACTACTAACTAAATGATATCATTTTTTTCAGTGCAATATATTAATTTATACCTCTTGAAATGGCAATAATGGTCAACTAAGAAAATATTAATTTTTTTCTCCTTTTTTTGAAATATTTTTATAAAAATTTAAGTGGATAATTTTTATTTTAAAATATAAATTCGATTTATATTTTAAAATAAAAATACATTTCTATCCCGAATATTTCACAATTTGTAACAACGCAAGTCTATTATTGGTAGATATTGTCTGGTTTGACCCGTTATAGGCAGATATTGTCTGGTTTGACCCGTTACCTATCACTATTACTCTCGCGATTTTAAAACCCATTTACTAAAGAGAAGTTTTATCCCCTCCTCCAACCAATATGGGATCTGATAAGGCAACCCTAATCGTCAGCTCAACTATCAAGCTTTTATTTGAGTGGAGTAATAACTGTTGAATCAGAGAAATTAACACTTCTTATACAAAATTTAGATCATACAAGAAATAAGGCTCGAATTAGATTACCTCTTACGATCAAAGATATAGAACACGATTTGAACATGGTTCTAAATTGAGTCACTCTACAGTCAAACTTGATCAATGTTTGACTGAATGGCTCGGATGCAATCTACAACAAGAATTGCTCGAAACTTATAAATGACAAAGATGATGCTCGAATTTATAAGGGTAACGTCTCAACTTGAGAGATCAATGTCATTCCTCACAAATTCTGATTTTTTAAATAATAATTGGTGGGTATTTATAGTCTCCCAACACAAACATTTATGGCCGTGATTTAACCCCTCCGAACAAAAGACAGAAGTGAATTTTCACCATTTGATTTTTACAAACTTTTTTAAATTAAAAATAAAAAATAAAGTTTTCTAACCAATCATGAAATAATGCTTGCATGCAAATATTCACTCCTGAAACTTTAAATGGTCCTTCTTCAATCGAATCAGTCTGTAACACATGAAATGATTGGTTGAACCGAGTCTAACCAATTTCGTATATGAAAAACTAATGCTTATTGAATCTTCTTAAGTTTGGATCGTGTAATAGGTCATGTCTTTTACAAATAACAGAGAAGTCAATGGTACTTGAGATTTTGATTAGGTAACAAATGGTCGGTTTAGTTTATTACCCATCTCTTTACACTTTCCATTTCTATCATTTCTTTAAAAATTAAAAATTTTGAAGAATGAAATTTTTTAGTATTTAAATTATTTATAAAATTCTAATTAAGAAATTTGTTCAACTTTATTTGGTATGTGAGTTGCCTCTTTATTTCAACTTCAAATTTTTTTAATGTTATTATTGATTAAGAGCCATTATATATACGAGCCTTGGATGTTAGAAGTTCATATCATATCTAAATGGCTTCTCTTACCATAAGTCTTTTTGTAATAACGCTTCTCTTCCATTGTAGTTTCAATGTCTTTGAAGCTGCGGAGTATCATGAGAGTCCTGCTCCTGCACCAGCCGACCATCATCTAGTTGCCCCGAGCCCCCACCACCTTGCCCCGTCGAGCGAGTCTCCGATCCCCCACCAGCCACCGAGCCAATCTCCGGTTCCCCACCACCTTCCCCCGCCGAGCGAGTCTCCGATCCCCCACCAGCCACCGAGCCAATCTCCGGTTCCCCACCACCTCCCTCCTTCCCCTTCGCCTCACTACGCCCCCGTTGAGCCACCTAAACCGCATACCTATCATCAAAGAAGGTCCATCGAAGTCGAAGGTGTTGTTTATTGCAAGTCTTGCAAGTATCCCGGTGTTGAAACCCTTCTCGATGCTAAACCCCTTTCAGGTTAGTTCGAAAAATAACATTTTTACCTACGAATCATTAGATATAGCATAAACCCACTTTAGTTTTAGCGTGTATTTTACATGTAATCGAGGCAATGTTCTAAATTTGATATCAATGTTGTTGTTTGTTTACTAAAAGCGTTTATTCACATTGTCCAATAATGATTCTCGTACTTGTATGATATTGTCTACCTTGAACCTAAAATCTCTCCAAAACACCTAGTATTATATATCTATGATCGTTGCAGGTGCTATGGTACAAATGACATGCAAGAACACCAAGTATTCTCGAGTAGTTGTGATAGCCACCACGGACAATAACGGTTACTTCTGGCTAGCGGCGAAGGACGTGTCGAGCCACGCATACCACCGATGCAAGGTTTATAATGTGAAGTCGTCGAACAAGAATTGCACTATAACGTCAAAAATGAACGGCGGAATAGAGGGGGCAGAGTTGAAGCCGGTGAAGGCATTCTTGGACGCCGAGAAGAAACCGGTTGTGCTTTACAGTGTTGGGCCATTAGCTTACGAACCCACCTGTCCACGTTGAAAGTACGATAGGATCTTGGGGATTTTGATGATATGATGGTTTGAATTTATGTACTTTGCTAGGTTTTCGCGATATCGTTGTTTTTTAATAATTTTTAATCGAGTCAACGAGCTTTCGAGGTAAGTTTTTTTTTCAAATAAAAAAAAATTATATTATGGTAATTTTATGGTTAAATTAAATAAGGCCTTTTTACTTACCTATCTAACCCAATCAACACCCAAACATTTTAATTAAGATATGTCAAATGGAATCTAACCGTACATGTCTCCTAACTATATCGTCTAAATCGTCACTACTAACAATCCATCATTATCCCTGAAAAGGAGATTTTAGTAAATAACATTTGGGCTAAAGGTCAAGTTGGTAATTTTTTTTACATCTCTCCTTTCCCTCGAGCCCAGGTATCATACACGCCTACCCAGGTATCATACACGCCTCCAAAATAAAGATTTAGGATAAAATTGTTAATATTTTTTTAAAAAATAATGGTGTTTCAAAAGTACTAATTTTTTTTAAAAATAATTCAAAAATACAATTAATATTTTTTACTTTTATTAAACAAAAAGTTCAAAAAAAAATCTTACGATCAATATATGAATGAAAATTGTCTATTGATGAATTTAACTCGTCATACTAACGTTAAGGGTAATTTTGAATTTTTTTTTAAAAAATTAAGTTATAAATTAATTTTTTTTTAAAAAAAAAAACTTATGGGTATTTTTATAACACTTTAATAGTTAAAAGTATTTTTGAAAGTTTATGGGTATTAGTTAAATAAAATATTAACCGTTACCCTCCAAAACTAACCATAAGAGTGTTTTTAATCCTAACATAATTATTTTATGCGAAAATAAATGTTTAAACTTCATCTTAAAACATTGTCATAGAGTTATGTGTTCGAAAACATTTTTAAAACGACATAATAAAATATTAAATGAAATAAATAAGCATTAATATTAAAAACACCCTATTCTAACACAAGTCTAACAAAATAAGTACAGCTACCTTATGCATGTTCCATGGTCTCGAATTGCAATGACGTTGTCAACCGTGTAGGGATGTCTTGCTTTTACCTGAAATATGAGTAAAACGTGGCTTGAGTATTTTAAGATATAGTAAGTGACCTCACTGTTAGGATTAGATGCAAACACATACAATCATTGGTGGGACCTATCATATCAATCTATAGTCCTTAGGCGGCTTGTAAGAACCGGACTGACTCGATGACTCCAAAAAGATGAGTAACTTTTTCACGAAGTAAAACAAATAAAATTTGAAACATAATATACATTATATTTATATTATAACAAAATAGTGTTATACATAAGTATTTGAAACACAACATAAAGATAAAATACAAAAGGAACTGGCACAATATTTAAAATAAAAGGGTGTGGAGGATGATGGGTGAGACTTGTCTATGGCACCTGCTCTAGAGTCTGCTCTCAATCTCCTTGTTTACCTGAAAAACATGGAAAACATGAAATGAGTAAAAAGACTCAGTAAGTAGTCTACTCCTTGTTTACCTGAAAAACATGGAAAACATGAAATGAAGTAGTCTACTTGTAGACACTTAATCGTGTCCTTGATATGCTAGGGTACAACACTTTTTCTGGTCTTATTTTGGTTCTTGTTGTACATAATTAGGTTGTCTAGTTCTTGTTCTTGACTTGCTTGTTCTTGACTTGTGGGTTCTTATCATGATCTATCCTGAGAACCTTAGTCCTTGAATTATAGTTCTTGGTTACTGTTCTTTGAGTTTGGATCTCAATCCACGTCTAGTTTTAGTTCTTGATCGTTGTCTTGTTCTCAGTTACTTTCTAGGTTTTTGTACTGATCTTGGTTATTCGTTTTCCAAGACACTCTCCTTAAGATTTACGATACTAATCATGAACCTAACAACCTGTGTCCACGACACTCCCCCTAGTCAAAAGACCTATTGCCTTGAAAACTCCGATTAACCCAAGGAAACTCATAAAATTTGGATTTTGTTGTCAACTTATTTAGATTGAATTGAGTTCAAATAAATGAAAACTTTATAGAAAATATTAAAAGTTGAACAAACTTACGTTAAAAAGCCTATTTATTTAATTTGTTTCTACCTATAAAATTTTAATTAAATGAAAGTGAATACTTATTTACACGTGTAATTAATGTTCCATTTTATTATTATAACTTTATTAAATCCATAAACTCAAAGATCTAAAATTAAAACACATTATTCATAATATATTTATTAATGGATTAAAGTTATTATAATAATTTAAATTAATAAAATAAACTAACTACAATTAATTAATATAATAAAATTGTTGAAATTAACCATAGAATCAAACAAAAAAAATATTATTTATTTATTATACGAAAAACTTCTACCAACCACTTAATTATTTTAAACTTCTGAAATATCTATTTTAATATTATATTTTTTTAAAAAAATACTTTTGTTACTATTACTTTTAATATTAACATGTAATTAAATTGTATAAAGTTGTCCAAAACGCAACTAACCAAAAAAAAACTCTAGGTCTATTAATTTCTTACTACATATTTATAATTAATTAAACTCGGAACCATAGTTATTATAATTGTTCTTCTATCATAAGACTATCGAAACATACAAATTGCGATATTTATTTAAGTTTAAGGTAAAAATTGCAATACTTCTAAGTTTAAGATTTACCTTGATGAAATCGAACATAACACGAATCAAATTAACCGCTCCACATCGCTCCTAAACTCTACCTCATGTCATCTCATTTCTTTTCCCGGTGGCTCCCTGTACAATTTACAAAGAATCAGTATTGATGTGAGGAACATCCAGAGAGTTGAGTAACCCAGCCAGCCATGGCCTTCTGGAAAATAGAAAAAATATCATGCGCCTCTATCTGTCCAATGAAAGTTCATCAATTTGGATCGAACTATCGTCGATGGATTATCGTAAGATCTTACTGTGGCCACGAAGATGAGATGCAGAATAAATTGTGAGCTGCTTGATCATTAACCGTGGCAAGAACGGTGCGCCGAAGAATTTAGGATCAATATTTGTTCAACTCAGAACAACCTACTTAAGCTCAGAAGAGTTCCCAGAGTTCATATCTGATATGGTATGGTGTAAACTTCTTTGGTATCTGGTTTTTCTTCTCAGAAGGACTGAACAAATGTCATTTTTGTTCGTGGAATAGAAGAGGTATTGTTCTCTATGAAGCAATTGTGGGCTCAGGAGCATCACTGAGAATGCCATCGATCTTTTCTTGATGACGTTCACTGTCAACAAAGATGGTATTGTAACTGGAAGGAGGTACACTTTCGTACTCCATATCAATTTGTACTGTATTTGTACTTTGTTCAAAGGAATTACCGTCGACAACCTCTTCAACGGAATTTAGTCGTTGTGGCGATATAGAGATTGACATTGTATCGACGTCCATCTCAGTACAAGGGCAGTCCTCCCCGGCAGTTTCGCCATTCACATGCTTTCCAGACACAGTTGAATCAATAAGCAAGCTACTGGCGTTATCGGTAATATAATTAGAAGCAGCTTCTTGTACCAAGGCACGGTCACTCTTGTTCTGGTTCGACTCAGACTTGTTTCTATGTACAATATCCCTCAGATATTCTGTCTCTCCAGTAGATACTTCCGTGTCAGTTTTATGCTCCTGGAAAGGACTCCTCGACTCTTGGTTGCTCCCCATGCTGATTAGTACATTCAACTGCTTCTGGACAGACATTGCAAACGATACAGCATGATCACGTATTAACGAATCGTGAGGTGGACAGCGCAGCAGGTCGGTCAAGGCCTTCTGGTACTGCAATGAGCTGATTGATGGTTTTGTAGTCCCTTTCTTACGACATATGCTAATAACCTTGCAGATATGCTCACATAGATTACCCATTTCTGCCCATCTGCAATCACAAAGACCGAACTGCGAACCAGGATTCCAAACAACAAATTTCCTGTCTCGAGTAATTTGGTCGGTGACTTTTGCGATATTTCCTTCAATGACAACATCAGAGTCTGGAATTTTCAATGCTCTGCGCCAATATGTCAAGCCACTCATCCATTCATCTTTCCAATACCGTGAAAAACTATTCTTCTCCGAGTACTCATCAAGCCAGAAGTAAGAATGTACCTTTGTACCCAGCTTGTAGACCAACCAGTCCGTGCGCTGATAAACATCAACATCTTTTTCATTTAGCAATCGTAACTTCAATTGGCTGTGGTAAAACTCCATTGCAGCACATGTTTCCAGACTGGTGAGTGGAAGGTCTTTTAGTGCAGTAGTCCACAAACCTAAGACCAAAAAAATTTAGACGATGAGAATTTCGATATGCTCCTCCTAGTCACCATGGCCTTGAAACTTGTTGCACATGTAATGAATGTATCTAGCCTTCAAAACTAATGTCCATAATTTTCAAAATAACCCCTTTCCATTTCGAGCTTCCCCTCAAGGTTTTTAAAACGCGTCTGCTAGAGAGGTTTCCACACCCTTATAAAGAATGTTTCGTTTTCCTCCTCAACCGATGTGGGATCTCACAATCCACCCCCTTCGGGGCTCAGCCTCCTCGCTGACACATTTTTCTAGTAGACGCATTTTAAAAACCTTGAGGGGAAGCCCAAAAGGGAAAACTCAAAGAGGACAATATCGGTTAGCGGTGACTTGGGCTGTTACACCCCCGGAACACATTTGTTTTCGATCAGATCGATAGCCACTCTTCCTTCAAATAAAAACAAATGCAATGTGCTTGAATGATAGTGCTCATGCACATTGCACTCGCATTTACCATGTCTGAAGTCAAATATAAAAGAATTATAAAATAATCGCATTAACCATCAATTTGTAGCCGTTAGAAGACTTTGGATGATAAATGATGCAGATATCTAGCAAATAAAAATGATAGCAACAAATTCAGCAAGCATGATAAATTGGAAACCTTCTTTTTCTAAGAAAACCTCATTATTAGAGAACGGAGAAGGAGACAAACCTAGTCTAGGACACCAGGTTGCCCTAAAGTAGTCAATTAAATCTGGATCATCAACTTGATCTTTAATCAGCTGTTCAAATAAATCCACCTTTTCATCACCTCGGCAAACTCTATCCACCGCTTGCCCAAGCTGTCTTAATATCTCAGCTTGCTTCTCAATTTCCACACATTTCTTCAGTACATTTTTATGCCATGCATGACGGACCCGCCAAAAGCTTAATAAAACAGAACATTGAAATATCTCCCTGAATAAAATCAAAGAAATACTCTCATTCACCTGAGGGCGGCATACTTGAAAGGAAATGAAAGCAATTTTTTTTTCTTTTTTGTGCGTGTGTGAGCTTTTAATGAAAAAATGAAAAAATACAATACAAAAGACAAGCCTAAAAGAAGCGGGAGCCAATCCTGTAGAATAGCTAGATTTGCACTAACTAGTAGCTTTCACATTCGCCAACGAAAAAAGTTAGATTGTACTGATTAACTGAACTTAAAAACCTTTTGCAGAGGAAAATTTGAGCATAAAAAATAATTATAAGCCACTCTTATGGAGAATCATAAGAAATATTGACTGTAGCCCTTTAAGTGGACTTATCGGTCATGTGCATTGGTTTATCCATCAAAACAGTTGAAGAAAAGAAGTCAGCACAGTTTTCTCATATTCAACAAAACTATAACAAGACAAGACAGTATGAATCAATAGCATCTTTAACCAAGAAAAGGAACAGAATGAAGAAAGGAATTAAGTCTATAATTATAGACAATTATTGAACTGTTAAGATGATTATCTTTTGATTCTATGAGCCCAATGGATTGATTAGTCAAGTTTGGCTTCCAAAAGTGTCCTTAATTTCTGAACAAAGAGAAATAGGTAACCTGATTGTCGGTACATCAGCAAGAGGATCGTCCACAACAAAGCCAGCCAACTTCCATGTAGGATCTTTGGTTTGAACTCTGCTATGAAGAGCCCTCATCCACCTATGGGCATCTCCACTGGAAAATCTTGGTGATATAATCCAAGCTACTGGAATTGCGTTGTAGTCTAAATTGAATACTACCAGACTATGAACTGGATACTGGACAAAAATGCAGAAAAGGCATAATTAGCATCATCTGACATTGAAATTGGATCTTATAATCCAACAACGTTGAAATAACTGAGACATAAGAATTAGCTGATATACCTTCAACTTGTTTGTTCCAAACCTGGAATCTGAAGCAAGAAGGCCACGATTGCCGAATCGTATCATTTGTTGTAATTGCCACTCTGTTTGAATTCCCAAAGTAAAGGTGTCTGTATCAGTAAAATCTTCATAAAAGAAAACATTACTACGATGGCCCTCAACCCACATGTTAATGCTTACTGCATCATCTTCATCAAGCTCATGAGTGGAACGCCGGATGCTTCTCTCTTGTATTCTTACATATCTATGAGTTAAAAGGTCATCACGGTTGCATGGACCACCCTGTTTCTCCACCGATTCATTATGTCTCTGCATAATGGTCTCCACAGAAACGCCAACATATAGAAGCGACAATACACGTAAACGAAGATCTTCAGAGATGTATGGTGCAAACATAGCACGAGTACCTTCAGCCTTCTTGTCTTGAGGACCATGGCATGGCAATCCCTTCTTGTCTACATGCTTGTCCTCATTATATATGATCAGTGCAATAGATGGTTCAGCAATTAAACGTTTGACAATGAAGTGGCAGGTGCAACCCCTTTTAGTGTTTGGCCGTCCAGCATTTTTCTTCTTTGGTATATAAGTATTTCTACTGGGTCGTACAACTCCCCCCTTCCTGTGGTCATCAGGACCAAACGAACACCAATACCTATGTATTCGATGAATAACTAAGCTTCTAAAATTTGAAGAAAAAAGACCAAGCACGAGATGAAAACATATGTATATATAACACATATACAAATATGGGACTTACATAATGTACTCCAGTACACCATCAACCTTCGGTTTGAAAGGTGCTTTCAATGCTCGTCGTCGCCTTGCTTCAACATGAAATCTGGTTGGACATTCTTTATTTGAAGATTCGCCACGTACAAAATCATCAACTCTAGCAAAAGGGATTACTGCAACTCTATCCACATTGTCACGCCATCCTTCTACCTTAGACCACACAAGATCAGCGGAAGAAAATTCCAAGGTTGAAGGATTCTGTACTGGAAGAGAAAAAATCTCGTCCCATCTGGCCATCTAAAAAATGAAACGAGGAAATTACAAGTCAATAATTTAGGAAGCAGGACATGAAACGCATTTTAAAAGGCCCAAATTTATAAGAACCAAAAATAAATTCTCTCTCAGCAAGACAAATCAATTAAGCAAGAAACCAACAGCAGGCACAGAGCTTACCAACGCATTGCAATATCGCAATCAAGGTACCAAAATCAAAATGTAAAAAAAAAAAATGACAAAAATGTTGTGTCCCACTTCTTGATAACTAGGCACATGTACCGGTACTGACTTTTAGATGAACACAACTCTCCACAATGGTATGATATTGTCCACTTTGAGCATAAGCTCTTATGGCTTTGCTTTGTGCTTCCCCAAAAGGCTTCATACCAATGGAGAGAGTATTATTTGATTATGAACCCATGATCATTCCTTAAATTAGCTGATGTGGGACTAGTGGGATTTTCATCATCCAACACTAACAACATTTCTTCACATATCAAGGCTCACCAAACTGCTAAATGAAATTCATAGCACTAGAAATGACAACTTATCCACTTATCTCTAAAATAATAACAATGGCATACTTCATTGAACAGGGGGAGAATCATAAAGCAGAGGCATCTGATAGCCCAGAACACCCTATCCTTCCCAAAAGAGAAAATTCCAGAAAAAGAAAGCAATCTAAACTACAAAACAAAAAGAAGCAGCAGAAACTTAGCACTCTCCGCAGCCTGAATTTAACCGGCATATAAACAAGTAGAGATAAGAGGACAACAAATTGGAAGACAATACGCCGACGAAAAGAAACAATCAAAATTTTAAAACGCGAACTAGTTCATCACTACAAATGACCTGACCATAAAACTAAATGCAATCACACAAACTCACAGTCGAATAAAGAAGAGTTCAAACAAAAGTTGGACAAAGTAAACTGCCTCAACGTACTGTCTTATCAGAAAACCAAAGCCTTCTGCAACTTGATGCCTATATCTTGTCGCACACTCCACCGAACCAAATGAAACTCGCTCTACGTAGTCAGATGTTCCGACTCAATTTCCGTCGGCGAACGCAATACACAGTCCTCCAACCACCAGAAAATCAAATAGAATAAATTCGAATAGAAATCTAGATTGATTCCGGAGATACTCCGGGAGATTGTTGAGTCGGAGAAATTAGAGCTCTGGTTCTCGACGAGAGATGAAAGGAACAGAGAAGAAACAGCCACCGGAGGCGGTGAGGCTTGCGAACAAACATCTTATAAAAAGAAAAATGAAAAAAGAAAAAAAAAATCTGTCAAAATTTTAAGTCAAATACAAAAATAGGGCAAAATTAAATTAAAATTCAAAAATAAGACATGCTGCTTAGGGTTCAACGGTTCGAAACATGCATCTTCGATCTATTTTTATTGATTTAAACCCTAAAACATGTTCATTATCCTCCCATTAGATCATAATCAACTTCTCCGATCATTCCATGATGGATTTCACAAATAATTCTTAAGAAAAATCCAGTACGACTACTTACCCGTTGAAGTAATTCTTAAGAAAAACTTGATCGATGTGAGGAATCATGAGCTCGTGGCATACCGAAAAGGTAGGGAGGTCTAAAGTGACTTAGGGCATCACTAGGCTAGGCTCGATTCATGAAAGACATGTTTCGGGTTCAACTATTCGAAACATGCATCTCGGTTCCATTTTTATTGATTTAAACCCTAAAACATGCTTATTATCTTCACATTAGGTCGTAATCAACTTCTCTAATCATTCTAGACTCTAATCTAATAGTTACAATGGCTAGTTAACTTCTTCACCACATCGTCATCACCTGATACTTAGGTGTCACTTGCGAGAAAGGGAGAGTAGCACAAATGAGTATACATCCAATATGTAGCTCGCTTAAAGCTAATCATATTACTTATACAACATTCACATACATAACCGAGGCTCTACCAGAAGCCATCACTAAAATTAACCTAGATTCTCAATCATCGGTTGTATTCTACGGGTAGGACTCGTTCTACTCATCTAAACGAAATTAATAAAAGGTCCTTTGACTGAACTTTTGAAATTCACTCAAGTCCTCGACTTACTTTCATTCATCACTTATTTTGTAGGACCAAATTATCACTTCAGTCCAATAACTTCGGTTGATTATGGTTGTCATTTCAGTTCAATAACTACTATTTAAGTTTCCTTACCACAAGCAGCTAAGTTTAACTAGATCTCTTATACTCAACTTGTGTTCGGGTTTGAAAGCTTATTCAATCAACTAATGTTGATTCAATGACTCTCATTGATCGACTGCTTGGTGTACAATCAATATTAAGCCCCTAGGAGCTTGTACTCATATCTATATGCCATAAATCTATGTCGTAGGCTCGCCTAGACAAACATTTTGGTTCTACTCTTCTATCTCTGCTTACTTTTAATTTTTCAGCTGGTCAACTTCTAGCTTTTCCACATTAGCTCGGGGAAACTCTCACCAGTTTGCCAATCTCTTAGAGCATGTTGACTAGACTAAGTGTAGCTGAATTCAAGGTATCTAGATAATTACATTCTAATTTTAGTGTCTGTTGTCGTATTTCCAACTCTAACATACATCATTGAGTATGTTCTCTATGACAGATAAACTACTAGGGTAGTCGGCCTAACTCTAATAGTCTCACAATATGAATGTGACACAAGAAGGAGTGACCTCGTGTCTATCGACTCTAAGTGCTCCCTTGTTCTGCTTTGACAAAAAAAAACACAATTCGGGAACAGTTGGAGACCCCTTGACCGCACTCATATAGCGTATGTAGTGCACTTATAGGTGCATATATGTAATACTAAATCTGCAGGTACATATGTTGTCTTACCAAGGTAAAATACCTAGGGAGTCCGTGGAATTGTAACGCCCCAGATCCACCACTAGCAGATATTGTTCTCTTTGGGCTCCTTTTCGGGCTTCCCCTCAAGGCTTTAAAACGCATCTGGTAGAGGAAAGTTTCCACACCCATATAAATGGTGGTTTGTTTTTATTAAGATATGATATTTGAAGATATATTTTCATAATTAGTTAAGAGTATATCTGAGATATTTATGGATTAGTGGTATATTTAAGGTTAGATTTAGATTTGATTAACTCGATATAAATTAGTTAGTTATATATTTTTCCTATTTTTAGGTATTAGGGGATAGTTTGTATCTTATTTAAACGTCGTAAACATGAATAAAAATCATACTTTCGATCCCAATTCTATTTCTATTTCTCATTCTTAACATGGTATCATAGCGCCGATCTTGGTGGTGTTCTTAAATATCAAAATTTCCTTTATGGCGGAATCAACCAAATCTAGCTTCAAAATTTCGGATGTTGATTTAACACATCCTTATTATATTCATCACTCTGATCAGCCAGGATATTCACTTGTTCCAATAAAATTAAATGGAACAAATTACCAATTCATAACTGCTAGGATATTCACTTGTTCCAATCAAATTAAATGTAGCAAATTACCAATTTATAACTCTAAGTTATGCATGCTCTTATTGCGATGTTAAATTTTGTGAAGATGACTTTCTTTTTTCATCAGCTTCACAAACTTTGACATTAGCTCCTTCGACTCCTGTTGTACCACTTCATGATCCATCCTACTCAAACATTCATCCTCCACCTTCTATTCCTCCTTCACCTCCTATCCCTTCACCTACTACTTCGTCGTCTCCTCCACCTTCTCCAGATTCGCCCACTAATTCTAATCCTATCTCACTTGATACTACTAAACAGCCTCCAGCTTGACATAAGGATTATGAGATGTCTTCTAGAACCAATTATTTAACCTCTAGCTCAAGTCCCAACACTAGCACCAGGTATCTCCTTCATCATTACCTTTCATTCTCTCATTTTTCTCCTACTCAACGTGCTTTTCTAGCTCTTATTACATGCCAGACAGAACCTAAAACAGGAAATTAGCGACCCGTTATGGCAGCATGCTATGAATGATGAAATTGCAGCTTTGGAACGTAATTATACATGGTCTCTCGTTCCTCTACCACCTGGTCATAAAGCTATTGGTTGTCATTGGGTGTACAAAATTAAATACAACTCTAATGGTTCTGTTGACCGTTATAAAGCTCGACTTGTAGCAAAGGCATACACTCAGGTTGAAGGTATTGATTACACAGAAACATTTTCTCCTACAGCAAAACTTACTACACTTCGTTGCCTACTCACTATTGCTGCTTGAAAATGGTTCACCCATCAGTTGAATGTTCAAAATGTCTTTCTCCATGGTAATCTAGACGAGAAAGTCTATATGTCTTTACCACCAGGTCTTCACCGACAGGGGGAGAATATAGTATGTTGGCTCCATAAATCTCTTTATGGATTAAAACAGGCTATCGCAATTGGTTCTCCATATTTTCTACAACTATACAAAATGCAGGCTACACTCAATCCAAAGCAGATTACTCTTTATTTACTAAGAGTAAAGGTACTTCTTCCACGACAATTCTAATCTATGTTGATGATATTCTGTTGACAAACAATGATCTCAAAGAAATTCAATATCTCAAGACTAGTTTACTCCATAAATTTCTTATCAAAGATTTAGGAAATTTGAAATATTTTCTAAGCATTGAATTTTCTCGGTCTAGAGAAGGAATTTTTATGTCTCAAAGAAAGTATGTTCTAGACATCCTTCAAGACACAGGTCTTACATGAGCACGTCCATAAAAATTTCCTATTGAGCAAAATCTGAAACTTTCTTTAATAGAAGGAGAGAAGTTGAATGATCCAAGTAAATACATACGGTTGATTAGCAGATTAATATATTTGACAGTCACTAGGCCTGACATAGCTTATTCAGTTCGTATGCTTAGCCAATTTATGCATGAACCAAGAAAACCACATTGGGATGCAGTTCTTCCAGTTCTGAGATACATCAAAGGCACTCCTGGTCAAGGACTCCTACTACCATCTGAAAACAATTTAAGATTACAAGCATATTGCGATTCTGATTGGGGTGACTGTCGAACTTCCAGAAGGTCTATTTCTGGGTTCTGTATTTTCCTCGAAAATTCAATTATTTTTTGGAAGTCTAAAAAGCAGACTATTGTGTCCAGATCATCAGCAGAAGCCGAGTATCGAGCTATGACAAATACTTGTTTAGAGTTAACTTGGTTAAGATACATTCTTCAAGACTTGAATGTTCCACTGTCCAAACCAGCATTATTATATGCTGATAATCAAGCAGCATTACATATAGCAGTCAATCCAATTTTTCATGAACGTACGAAACACATTGAAATAGATTGTCATATAGTTCGAGAAAAGTTACAAGCTGGAATCATCAAACCGTGTTATGTTTCGACTAAAATGCAATTGGCAGATGTTTTTACTAAAGCTTTGGGAAGACATCACTTTGATCTTTTGAAGGACAAGTTGGGTGTGATTGACATACACTCTCCAACTTGAGGGGAGTATTAGGATATGATATTTTGAGATATATTTTAATAATTAGTTAGGAGTATATCTAAGATATTTAGGGATCTAATCTATATTTTAGGTTAGATTTAGATTTGATTAACTGTATATTTTATTTATTTACGAGAGATTTAGTTAGTTATATATTTTTCCTATTTTTAGGTATTAGGTGATAGTTGGTATCAAACGTGTAAACATAAATGAGGATCGATCCCAATTCTATTTTTCATTCTTAACTGTTCCTCACAACCAATGTGAGACATCACAATCCACCCCTTTTGGGACATCACAATCCACCCCTTTTTGGGACATCATAATCCACCCCTTTCGGGGCCTAACATGTGGCACTCTTTCCTTCCTCCAATCGTTGTGAGACCGCCCCCAAATCCACCCACTTTGGCCCAGCGTTCTTACTGGCACACTGCCTCATGTCTAACCCCCTTCGGGGAACAGCCGACGGGTTCGGGACTGGGACCTCCGTGCCCAACCTTCAGAGCCAATCCTTTTCCCGAGGTTATTTAGTTAAATTTTAAATAATTATATGTGATTTAAAATTATAGGATCAAATGTCAATTCTTTGATAATTTAGAACTACAAATGCATGTGTTGTTGAAGCTGCGTTGTTCAAGCGCAAGTGACTTCGTTAGGGTTTTAACAATTGGGTTGGGGTTTGGGTATACAGCATAGGGGAGAAAGGCCTCACGACGCCTTCTGTCTCCGGCACCAAACCTCAGCATTCAGCTAGCCGAGGCTGTTAGATAAAACCTGAGTTTTTACAGTTTTTTCTTATTCACACGATTTCAGAATATCTCCGTTTGACCATTTGACAAAACACGTCGAATGGATCACCAAAATTTTAGACGGCAATTTTGTAGGGAGTGACATAGATTTAGTTGTCCACTCTCCAGCCATTTTTAGGATAATTTATATTTAAATAGGAAATTTGTTCTCAATATTCAACTACCTGATTTTGAACGCAGTCATAATTTCAGCTTTTCAGCTCTCTCTCTAAGCATTTTTCTTCCAACAACCAATTTCCTCTCACCGAATTTCTCTGAAAACAACAAGTGGTATTAGAGCCAAGTTGAAGCCATCGGTGTATATCATTGCAGAGGAGCCAACCTAACAACTAAAAAATTGAATAGCTCAAGTGGTTAGAACATCGATCTAACAACATATAGATCTCAGGCTCGAGTAGAAGAAAATGCGAAGTGTAAAAACACACACATCGTAGGGCCCATCTCGGGCAGGCCCACTCACTCCTCCATGTCGCTGCAGTTTGCCGACATCTCCATCCACCACCATGAAGAGGCCAACGCCGACGAGAGCAACGGGTCCTCCTCCGGTCGCAAAGATGGTAAGAAGCCATGGATGTCCCACGGGCGCACGCGCGGAAAAGATGGGAATCAAAAGGAGACGAGAGCAACGAACGGCGAACGGGTCCTCTTCCAGCTGCTGCAAAGACGGTAAGAAGCCATGGATGGTCCTCCTCCGGTCGCAAAGATGGTAAGAAGCCATGGATGTCCCACGGGCGCACGCGCGGAAAAGATGGGAATCAAAAGGAGACGAGAGCAGCTGGTAAGAAGCCATGGATGGTCCTCCTCCGGTCGCAAAGATGGTAAGAAGCCATGGATGTCCCACGGGCGCACGCGCGGAAAAGATGGGAATCAAAAGGAGACGAGAGCAACGAACGGCGAACGGGTCCTCTTCCAGCTGCAAAGACGGTAAGAAGCCATGGATGTCCTACGGGCGCACGCGCGGGAAAGATGGGATTCAAACGGAGTCGACCAATGGCTAGGCCGATCTGCTTGGAACTGTGGGAAGAGAGGACACACCAGATTATTATATTCTACAAATACTTCAATAAATCATACACTTTTGAGTACTACTAACACAAAGTACTCTTTCTCTTTCTCTACTATCAAATAATCTTGTGGTCCAGTTTCACCGGGAAGTGGCGCATTAGTTTATCACAACTAATACTAATGAAATCATCCCGCCGAAAAGGCCCATGTGGCTCAATCCGAGGAGGACGAGCCAACTCTTCTTCATGGTAAGTGCATGTGTCCCCATTGTCGATTCCAAATCCACGACGATGTTGAACTTGAGAAAGAGCTCCAACTGGGCGTGGGACGTGGCACCATTCTGTTTGCCAGCAAGTGAGGCGAGCATTGCAAACTGACCGACGTCTAACTTCATCCCGAGTCTCAAGGATAACCTTGTGAGCCTGGGTCAACTCGATGAGACAGGCTGTTTCATTTCCATCGAGCGCAGACTACTCAAAAAACGGGTCCTCCTCCAGCCGCAAAGATGGTAAGAAGCCATGGATGTCCCACGGGCGCACGCGCGGGAAAGATGGAAATCAAAAGAAGTCGACCAATGGCTAGGTCGATCTGCTCGAACTGTGGGAAGAGAGGACACCTGAGCAGGAATTGCTGGAGGAGCAAGCTTAGGAACAAGGAGAAGGCCGAAAAGGCCCATGTGGCTCAATCCGAGGAGGACGAGCCAGCTCTTCTTCATGGTAAGTGCATGTGTCCCCATTGTCGATTCCAAATCCACGACGATGTTGAACTCGAGAAAGAGCTCCAACTGGGCGTGGGACGTGGCACCATCCTGTTTGCCAGCAAGTGAGGCAAGCATTGCAAACTGACCGACGTCTAACTTCATCCCGAGTCTCAAGGGTAACCTTGTGAGCCTGGGTCAACTCAATGAGACAGGCTGTTTCATTTCCATCGAGCGCGGATTACTCAAAATCTGCGATAATCAATGACGGCTGCTCACGCAGGCAAGACGCACGACAAACCGTCTTTACATCCTGGAGTTAGAGATAGAGCAACCCGTCAGTCTCTCGGCCAAGACCGAAGAGGAATCTTGGAGGTGGCACGCAAGGTACGGGCACTTAAACTTTCCTGCTCTAGAAAAGCTACAGAAGGAGGAGTTGGTGCACGGTTTGCCAGTAATCAAAGGCGTGAACAAGCCGGTGACTCCAGGCGGTAAGAGTCTCTTCCTCCTGTTAGTCGATGACAAAAGCCGCTTCATGTGGCTGACCCTGCTGCAAGCGAAAAGTGAGGCGGTAGAGGCGGTTAAGTACATTAAAGCATGAGCGGAGGCCGAATGTGAGAAGAAGATGCGAGTGCTGCGCACAGACCGAGCGAGGAATTCAGCTCGACAAGTTTCGGTAAGTACTGTGACGAGATCGACATATAACGGCGCCCTACTCCCCCCAACAGAACGGAGTGGTGGAGCGCCGAAATCAGACCATCATCGGGACAGCGAGATCATTGTTGGTGACGGCCGGGATGCCTGGGAGATTTTGGGGAGAGGCAGTAATGACGGCTGTCTATCTTCTCAATCGGTCACCAACCCAAAGCCTTGACGGGAAGACGCCATATGAGGCCTGGTACAACAAAAAACCAACGGTACATCATTTTTGCGTGTTCGGCTGCGTCGCATACATGAAGGTAACACGTCCCCACCTCGCCAAGCTCGATCCCAGAGGGCTGAAGGTCGTCTTCATCGGCTATGAACCCGGGAGCAAGGCGTACAGACTATATAATCCTGTAGGGGGGCGAGCTCACGTGTCTCGTGACGTCGTCTTCGACGAAAGCACCTTCTGACAGTGGAATGACGTGATTGAGGCAGACCATAATCCAAATTAATTTACGGTGAAGTACCTCGTCACCAACGACCTAGTAGGAGGAGGATATGCCGCCGGGACACCAAGCCATAGGGCTCAAATGGGTCTTCAAACTGAAGCGCAACGAAAAAGGAGAAGTTGTGAAGCACAAGGCCCGTCTGGTGGCAAAGGGCTACGTCCAGAAGCAAGGAGTGGACTTCGAAGAGGTATTTGCGCCAGTGGCAAGGTTAGAATCCGTTCGTTTCTTGCTGGAAATTGCGGCACATTACTCTTGGGAGGTTCACCATATGTAAAGTCTGCTTTCCTTAACGGAGAGTTGAAGGAGACCGTCTATGTTCGACAACCACCTAGCTTCCTGGACAACGACAACCCCAATAAAGTACTGCGCCTGCACAAGGCACTCTACGGGCTTCGACAAGCTCCACGAGCCTGGAACGCAAAGCTCGACAGTACCTTACTGTCACTGAAATTCAAACGTTGCGTCTCTGAGCATGACATGTACACGCACGGCCATGGCAAGAAGCGACTGATCGTGGGAGTGTACGTCGACGACCTCATAATCACCGGAGTTGACGTGGAAGTCCTTGGAAGGTTCAAGAAGGAGATGTCGAAAAACTTCGAGATGAGCGATCTCGGCGTGCTCAGCTACTATCTCGGCATCGAAGTGCAACAGAATTCTACTGACATCTCCATCTGCCAAAGTGCATACGCGAAGAAGCTGTTAGACACAACTGAGCTTGTGGACAGTAATCCTACAAGGACGCCAATGGAGGCCCGACTCCAACTAAGGAAGGCCGGCACTACGACGACAGTCGACTCCACCAATTATCGCAGCAATGTCGGGAGTCTGCGCTATCTGGTAAACTCTCGTCCTGATCTTGCTTATTCTGTTGGATATGTGAGCCGGTTTATGGAAGAACCTAGAGAGGAGCATCTAGTGGCTGTCAAGCGCATCTTGCGCTATGTAGCCGGAACTAGAGGCTGGGGTGTAAGATACTGCGCAGGGAGTGGAAAGGAGAAACTCAAGCTGGTCGGCTACAGTGATAATGACATGGTCGGTGACGTTGATGATCGTAAGAGCACTAGCGGAATGATCTACTTTCTCTCAGGCGGCGCAATCTGCTGGCAATCAACAAAACAGAAGGTAGTTGCTTTGTCTTCCTGCGAAGCAGAATACATCGCTGCTTCGATGGCAGCAACACAAGGGATCTGGCTTGCGCGACTAATGGAAGAACTCATCGGGAGAGAAAGTGATCCACCAATGCTATACGTAGACAACAAAGCTACTATCTCCCTGATCAAAAATCCAGTTTTGCATGAACGAAGCAAGCACATAGAAATCAGATTCCACTACATTCGAGAATGTGCAGATCGAGGGCTCATCAAGATTGATTACATCCGAACAGAGGAACAACTTGGAGACATTTTCACCAAATCCCTGGCGCGGGTGAAATTTGAAAAACTACGCTCAAAGATCGGAGTTCAAATAATAAGGTAGATATACTACAGGTTTTAGGAGGAGATTGTTAGATAAAACCTGAGTTTTTACAGTTTTTCCTTATTTACACGATTTCAAAATATCTCAGTTTGACCATTTGACACGTCGAATGGATCACCAAAATTTTAGACGACAATTTTGTAGGGAGTGTGACAGATTTAGTTAGCCACTCTCGAGAATGTTAATTTATATTTAAATAAGAAATTTGTTTAGAATATTTAACTATTTTGAAAGCAATCATAATTTCAGCTTTTCTCTCTCTCTTTACGCATTTTTCTTCCCGAAACCAATTTACTCTCACCTAATTTCTCTTAAAACAACAGAGGCACCCATTACCGTCCTACTCAGTACAAGAAATGCCTACGAAAGCTTCGAAATCCAAGGAAACTCCCGCAGAACGGCCTATTCTCGGTCGTTTTTCTTCCCATCTCAAGATTGGAATTGTATGTTCTTACTTCGATCATTTTTTGTCCTCTTTTAATTGTCTGGATTGGATTTTCCAGCTCTATATTGATTGGATGCTAGGAATGAAATTTCATTTGCTTGTTCGTTTATCCGGAATGTTCAATGATGAACTACCGGATGCTTTTTTTATAATCTTGTTGGAATTTATGGTTTGCTAATCCAGGATGCGTATGCTTGTTTTGGTTTTGTTGGATTATTATGTGGTAGTAATGTTGTTGAGTGTTGATTATGAATCTGTACACCCCTGTGATTGGTTTTTGTTTGAGATTTCAGGTTGGATTCCCTTTTTGCACTATTGAACCTAACGAAGCTAGAGCAAATGTGCCAGATGAGCGGTTTGAATGGCTTCGCAACTTATACAAACCTAAAAGTGAGGTTAACTTCCTTTTCTCGAGCTATTATCGATTTAGAATTCTTCGGATTAGTTTTTATCGTCAATAAGATAAGGTGGAAAACTTATTCAATGACATGAAATTAATGTTGAATTTATGATAAGAGTTCATTAGAGTAATTCTACATTAAATGTATAATTGGGACTTTAGGTTAAATAGGAAAATTTAGGGTCTAGGGTCGTTAGAGCCTGCCAACTGTATGACAAACAGTGTTACTTTCACAATGATTTTGAAGCTTCAGAATGTATAATAATAATTTGATACAGAATGACTATTATTAACATTGTCACAGTGCCCTTCCAAAGATCATAAAGATTGGGTTCTCGTCGATCAATCTCATATATTTCTTCACTGCAGGTCCTGATGAGGTATAATAATTAGTTGAATATTACTTACATTATTACCATATTTTGCCTTTGGTGTTTGTTAAAATGTTCTCTGAGTATTGAAGTAGCTGGTATTGATGATGCTTTCCTTGGTTATATATGAATGATACTAATTAGAGCCATAGGAATACAGCACTAAAGAAGCTTAACTTCTCTCTGCTGTTGATGATAATATTGTAGTTATCCAAATTTTAGAAATTTTTTATCTCAGCCTTACCCTATCACCTTTCAAGATAAGGGTAATGAATACCCTTAGGGATGCTGGTTCTTTTGCTATTTGATGGAGCATTTGGGTCAGGAATGAGAAAAATTTTAGAGGAGTTGATAGAACATGGGAAGAGCCTCCCCTTGATCGAAGCTCGACTCCTTTCTTTGGAGCCCTCGAACAAAGTACACTCTTTGTTCGACACATGAGTCACTTTTGACTACACCTTCGAGGCTGACAATTTCTTTGTTCGACTCTTGAGGATCCTATTGATATGACTAAATTAGGAGCATGATGCTGATACCATGTTAACGGATCTCCACAATGGTATGATATTGTTCACTTTGAGCATAAGCTCTCATGGCTTTGCTTTGGGCTTCCCCGAAAGGCCTCATACCAATGGAGATGTATTCCTTACTTATAAACTCAGGATCATTCCCTAAATTAGCCAACGTGGGACTCCCTCCCAACCATTCTCAACACAGGTTCCCTCCATCCATTAATGGTTTTATGTAGATTTAATTCTTATCTTTTCAATGTAGAATACCTTTCATTTTCCTCCTTTGGCTGTTGCTAATGTCAGAAATTTTGATTGTGTGCTGTCTGAGTCTCCTATTTATTGCTATGATAACTGTTGGCTTGACCTAATCCAGAATATGAGTCTTCACAGGTGAAATGCTGGCAAATTAGACGACAGACAAAAGCTCCTCAAGGAGCTCGGCAGTGAGACAGCAGTCAAGGTATATACATATATAATCAAGCTGGATTCTTGCTGTATTAGAATTTAGATTTAAAGACTGAATTTTCAACTGATTTATGATAAATGAGAGTATTGTAAAACATTTATTAATCATCATCTTGTTGGGAGAGTGGCCTGAGAGGAACAATAGAATTTTTAAAAGAGTAGGGAGGTCGGAGTAGGTGTGGGAGGTTGTGAGAGTTGATGAAGTTTTATGGGCATCCGTTAATCAGACTTTTTGTAATTATCAGTGTGAGATCCTATGTGAGATCCTACTTCGGTTCGGTTGGGGAGGGGAACGAAACATTCTTTATAAGGGTGTGGAAACCTCTCCCTAACAGACACATTTTAAAATCTTGAGAGGAGGTTTGGAAGGGAAAGCCCAAAGAAGACAATATCTGTTAGCGGTGAGCTTGAGTCATTACAAATGGTATTAGAGCCAGACACTGGGCAATATGCCAGCAAGGAGATTGAGCTCCAAAGGGGGTGGACATGAGGCGGTGTGTCAGCAAGGACACTAGGCCCCGAAGGGGGGGATTGGGAGGTCCTACATCGATTGGTGAAGGGAACGAGTGCCAGCAAGGACGCTCTCGAAGGGGTAGATTGTAAGAACAAAATATTTTTTATAAGGGTGTGGAAACCTCTTCCTAGCATATGCTTTAAAATCTTGAGGGGAAGCCCGGAAGGGAAAGCCCAAAAAGGACAATATCTACCAGCGGTGGACTTGGGTTTGGACTCCCTTGATTCCTTTTATATATATAGAAATGAGTCGCATAACTTAATGTTGATCCTTTCTACGCTTTTTATTTCTTTTTCATTGTTTTGGTAGTGTCTTCTTTTGCAATGATCATCCTTTTCACAGGATTGATGACATGTTTAGAACAGTTGACATTGATGGTGGCAGCTTCTTGGTTCGTGCTGGAGTTTATTTGAGTCGAAAAAAATGTGGATGTTAGCGTCACATGTAACAATTCAAGCCTACCAATAGCTGATATTGTTTTCTTTGAGTTTTTTTCAAAGTTTTTAAAATGTGTCTGTTAAGAGAGTTTTCCAGCCCTTATAAAGAATGCTTCGTTATCTTCTCCAATTGATGTGGGATCTCACATCACTTATATCGTATCACTCTTAAGCAATTTGTTATGTGAGTTTATATCGTGATCCTTATATATTTTATCGGTCCTCAAAAGTTAGAGAGCCAATCGACTTCTTTCAATAGAATTATGTTTCAAGAACTCGAAGAGAGAGGCTTTCATTACCTAGTTTGAATGGTGCTTCTCCAATCGAATGCAAAAAAAATTATGTCAATAATTTGATATAATTTTATGTTGAAAGGTCGTTGATTTTCATCATTTCATTGTCGAAAGCAAGAAAATTAAGAACGTTACCCTCTCTCCCTTTCTGAAATCATTCTCGACCATTGCAATCCATTTTTCAAATACTTCATCTCTTTCGGATCTTTCACTAAAACTCGATTTCTAACTCTTTTCTTTAAAACTCGATTCCAACATTATTTAAAATTATATTTTATTTTTCTTATAAAAAGTTCCTTTTTTCGATTAGATTTTGAAATTAAACCTCGAAATCATCAAAGAAAATATGAAAAAGGAAAGAAAAAAAAGTTAGACAAATTTTAGTAGCAATAAAGATATATAAAATGTATATACTTTTAGCTTTATTATTTTTTGTTTGTATTTGAAAAAAGTTTCACAAATTATCAATTAAAGTCAATACCTTTTGCTTTGGGAATAGGGAATTGGAATTAGTCCACTTTGCAATAAAACCCTCCTAAACCTATAGCCTTTCAATCCACATCTTAAAGTTTTAATCCCGACCCCTTAAATTTGAACAATTTTGTCGAATGGAACGAATGGTTCGATATCAATTAAAAGCGAGGAACATCCCGACTAAAAATAAAATTTGTTTTAGTACAAGACTTTTTGAATTTATATTCCATTAAAAAATTTCAACATGCTATAAAAATTTGGAGAAACTTATTAATTTGTCATATATCGTTCTTCATCGATGCAAGAAGCGAGATATCCGTTGCCGAGAATCGTTGTGAATAATACGACAAGAATGTTTTGCCCCTCGCACACCGAAACCGGGGCAGGGGGCAAGCTTATTCGTTTAAGATCCATGGCGCAAATGCTTCTCTTGAAACAAAAAGTTTGTAAACATGTTCACGGGTTGTTTGAGGCATCAACAATGATCATTCTGCAGGTTCACTTATAGACACCTTGTTACGACTTCACCTTCCTCTAAATGATTATATATATATATATTCAATTATGATTTTATTTATAACCAATCAGAAAAAAAATTTGTTAATTATTTTTTAATTAACTAAAAATCAACATTAAGAATATAAACCAACAATATTTACAATAAGACCAATTTATTTATTTATTTATTAAAAGGGACAATTCTTTTTGTCTTCATCTTGAATAATAAAAGGTCCAATTTTTATAAATTATGTTTAATAGAATAAATAATTCAATTTAACGCCATTAAAAATATTTAACAATATTTAATTAAAAAGGTTTATATCCAAAATATTATTAATATGTAAAGTATATCTCTTAATATCTTTTTTATTTTTCTGAAAATATTTTATATATATATATATATATATATATATATATATATTTTCTCAAAGTGGAATCACTTTCCATATTGTTTTTGGCTTCATATTAAATATTGGCCCCCCATGTTTGTGATATGTTTTTTAATTATTCTTTGCTAAATTTTTCATTTTTAATTTTTAACTCGTCAATTTATTGCCCCCATATCAAAATTAAAAATTTTAAATTATTTAATAAACGGCCTAACTTATAAATAGTAACAACTGAATAACTGAAAAATACATGAATAAACTGAGACCACATCTAAATAAGAGCGATTTTAAGCTTGAAATAGCTAAAAAATACTTAAAAAAATTGAAAATTACTACTTATACACGAATAATGTGCAATTTCTTAGGAACGTTTTATCAAGAGAGATCATTTATAAAATATTAAACTACGACTAAATTCTAATTTTCTCCGAATCATTAATATAAATATAATAATTTAACTTAAAAAAATAAAAATAAAAATGGTAAAAAAAAATAATTTCAATTAAAAACTAAAAATGTTTTTTTTTTTTTTGGTAGGGACCACATTGTGGTATTTCACGCAACCACATGCTCACACATACCATGATAAGGACTGCACAATAAAGACAAAATGCGTCCTACGTGTCACATTATTATTGGCTGCTCAGTGGACCCCGCTTACAATTATATTTTGCACCTACTTCACCTCCCTTCACTCTGGTCCAATAGGAATGAGTCAGCAAAGAAATCTTGGTCAAAAGGAAATTGTGGGTCCTACCGTCCTACGTGGCATTTTTTATTTTACAAATGGAAATCATTTCATTCAGAAAAACGTGGACAATAATTCGTCTAAATTAATTACAAAATTAGCTAAATTTTCAATACGTTATTAAATGGATTTTTTTTAAATACCTTAAAATTTTAAAAAAATTCAAAAATATATAAAAAAAACTTTTAAATTTTTTAAAAGTTTAAGGTATTTTTGAAATAAATTACTACCATTTTCGAATATTTTCTAAATATTTTTTATACTAAATACAAAATTTAAATATATTTTTATTAATTTATCTTTCCAAAATATATATTTTTTCACGAATATTAATTTTGAGTATTGTGAATAATTTAGTTTAATTTCTCTCTATATTTATAAATATAATAAAAGGTATTTATTCTGAGAAAACAAAATTCTTTATACGGTTAATTACTAAAACCGTATAATTAAATTTTAGAGATTAAATAAATGACGGTTTATTATTTTTGTGAATTAAATATAATTACTATATTTGCATTATTAGTTTTTTCAAGTTCCCCCATTATTATTTTACTCGTTATTTTTAATAATTTCACGTAATAATATTTTTAAATATGCATTTTAAATTTTTTTAAATATACCAAAAATATATATATATATATATATATATATATATAATTTTAAAATTAAAACATTTTAATATCAACTTGAGTATAGGTAAACTGAATGAAGTTTATTGTATAAATTGAGAAAATTAAATATTTAAATTCACACTCTCCTATATTATTGTACTATTTTTATATATATTTTTTATTTAAATTAAAATTTTACAAAGTTTCAAGCTTTTGCTTGTTATCACCAGTTTTGTAACGATCCAAAATTTTCTATTTAATTTAAGGTTGCAACTGTATACATATCCTAAACATTGAATACGGAAGACTCATTTAAATTCCATAAAACATATCTTTTACTATAAGTTTCATAATACAGAGTGACCCAACTTATTTGTTCTTCTTCCTTCTTTTTAGTAAGTTAAAATTGTTCGAGCAGAAAATTGAGTAAAACTTAATTTTTCAAATCTTTCAATCTTACAGATTTAGTGACCTATACTGATTGTTTATAATTAATGTAACATATTTCAATGACATTAATAAATTTGTAGACTAAAAACATGTTATTTCAAATATAATGTAGTGATAGAGCACTAATTACTCTCCTGAATATCGATACTTTAATATTGTATGAATTAAAAAAAAATTGAGATTGAAAATGGGAGAATTAGAATTGGATGAGCTTCCAATTTCAACCATGGCGGGTAAATACACCATTTTCTCACGAATTTCTACACCATTTTCCCGCGTACTGTTTGGTGTCTGATAAGCTGACACTGAGCCTCCTCAAAAGAAGGAATCTAAATTATTTTATATTTGATTTCTCCCATTAATTCATTTTTCTCCCCAAAATTGCTTAATCACTGTGGGGTTCTTCTTCGCATCACTCACATGCATTCGCTTCACTAAACAGGGCGTCTGAGTGCGAAGACAACCCCATTTTTCATCGTTTCTCCATTAAACAGCTTAATGAACTCTTGTTTTTGGGTTTTTGTGGGTAAATCTTTGAGCCCCATCTTCTTTAATGCCGTCTAATTCTTTGTTTGAATACCCATTTCTCTGTTCTTCTTTCTGGGTTTGTTGTTCTTATTGATTTATGCTCTTTGTTTCTCTGTAATCCCAAGATTTTGTTCTTTTTCTTCTGGATTATGTTTATGGGTATCGTTGCATTACTCTGTAAAGGGGTTTTTGTGGGGGAAATCCTCCATTTTCTGTGCTGAAATCTCTGAATCTATTAGAATGTGTGTGGCTGTTCTTGGAAACCCATTGAGATTCTGCATTTTTTGTTAAATTTTGTGTTCATTTGTTCTAGAATCTTTGCCTTTTTGAGTAGCTTGAAATGATAGCCATTAGGATTTTGGTGGTATCATTCTTGTTGGTTTCTACTGTGGCTCAGCTCCCTTCACAAGATATCTTGGCTCTGCTTGAGTTCAAGAAGGGTATCAAGCATGACCCAGCAGGGTTTGTTCTTAGTTCATGGAATGAGGAGTCCATTGATTCTAATGGCTGTCCTTCTTCGTGGAATGGGATTGTTTGCAGCAATGGAAGTGTTGCTGGAGTGGTTTTGGAGAGTTTGAGCCTTTCAGCTGATGTAGATTTGAGTGTTTTTTCGAATCTCACGAAACTTGTAAAGCTTTCCTTGTCGAACAACTCGATAACGGGGAAGATACCCGACAATATAGCCGAGTTTCGAAGCCTCGAGTTCTTTGATGTCTCGAATAACCTGTTTTCGTCGTCTTTACCTCAGGGGATTGGCAAGTTAACAAGCTTGCAAAACATATCATTAGCTGGGAACAACTTCTCTGGTACTCTTGATCCGATTGTTGGTCTTCGATCAATCCGTTCATTGGATTTGAGTCGTAACTCGTTTTCGGGGTCGCTTCCTACGACATTGACTAAGCTGATGAACTTGGTTTATTTGAATCTATCTTTTAATGGTTTTACTAAGAGGATTCCGAAAGGTTTTGAGCTTATTTCAGATCTTGAGGTGCTTGACTTGCACGGTAATATGCTCGATGGCACGCTCGATGTCGATTTTTTTCTTCTGTCGGAAGTCAGTTATGTTGACTTTAGTAGCAACATGCTAATGAGCTCTGATATGGAGCATGGGAAGTTTTTGCCTAAACTTTCTGATACTATCAAGTATTTAAACCTTAGTCATAACCAGCTTACGGGATCGTTGGTCACTGGAGGCGAGTTATCGGTGTTCGTAAACTTGAAAACATTGGATTTAAGCTACAATCAGCTTTCCGGAGAGCTACCCGGTTTTAGTTTTGTGTATGATCTTCAAATCTTGAAGCTTAGCAACAACAGATTTTCGGGAGCTATTCCTAATAATCTATTGAAAGGCGATGCTTCGGTTTTAACTGAGCTCGATTTGAGTGGCAACAACCTCTCAGGTATCGGACCATATCTTCTTTTTCATAGTTTTATGTGATTCCAGTTTGATTAAGCACTTACGGACTAATGTATCGCTCAGGGCCAATAAGTATGATCACTTCGACCACGCTACGCATACTCAATCTGTCGTCGAATCAGCTTACGGGTGAACTTCCATTGCTGACTGGAAGTTGTGTCGTGCTTGATCTCTCGAACAACAAACTTGAGGGAAATTTAACAAGAATGATCAAGTGGGGGAACATCGAATTCCTTGATCTCAGTCGAAATCTTTTGAACGGGCCTATCCCCGAGGCATCTCTGCAGTTCTTACGGTTAAATTTTCTAAACTTGTCTCATAATACTCTGAGTAGTTCACTTACGAGTGCTATTACGAAGTATCCGAAGCTTCGAGTCCTTGATCTGAGCTCGAATCAGTTCGATGGACCTTTGTTAGCTGATTTACTCACAATGCCCACTTTGGAAGAGCTCTATTTGGATAATAATTTACTTCGTGGTACGGTTAAGTTCTCGCTTCCTTCACTGGGTCGAGCAAACCTTAACGTTCTTGATCTTTCTCATAATCAGCTCGGTGGCTATTTTCCTGATGAATTTGTTTCTTTAACTGATCTTACATTGCTGAATATTGCTGGAAACAACTTTTCTGGATCGTTGCCTACGTCGATGTCCGATCTGAGTGCTTTGATCTCGTTAGATATATCACAAAATCACTTCACAGGGCCCCTTCCGAGCAACTTGTCGAGCAATATTCGGAACTTCAATGTTTCGTTTAATGATCTTTCGGGATTGGTCCCCGAAAATCTGGAAAAATTTCCACGTTCTTCGTTCTTTCCTGGAAATTCAAGACTGATTCTTCGAAATGGTCCGGGATGGAGTGATAATCCAGATGTTAGAACAGGTAGAAGGAAAATGAACACAATTGTTAAAGTAATCATAATAGTTTCATGTGTGATTGCATTGGTTATTATTATACTCCTTGCTATCTTCTTTCATTATATTTGTATATCAAGGAAGAATCCGCCCGAGCTTGCCACAGCTAAGGACATTCAGAGGCGTAGTTCTCTTAGCTCCGCTGGCATCGGTGGAGCTGGAACTGGTAGCAATTTGGTTGTTTCGGCTGAGGACCTCGTGACATCAAGGAAAGGGTCGTCGTCTGAGATAATCAGCCCGGACAAGAAACTAGCTGCTGGAACTGGTTTCTCCCCAGCTAAAAGTAGTCATTTTACTTGGTCACCTGAGTCGGGTGATTCGTTTACTGGTGAAAACCTTGGTAGACTGGATGTGAGATCGCCGGATCGTTTGGTTGGAGAGCTTCATTTTCTTGATGATTCGATCTCATTGACACCAGAGGAACTATCCAGAGCTCCAGCTGAAGTGTTGGGGAGAAGCAGCCATGGCACGTCCTACAGGGCGACACTCGAGAGCGGGATGTTCTTAACGGTTAAGTGGTTAAGAGAAGGTGTAGCGAAGCCGAGAAAGGAATTTGCTAAGGAAGCGAAAAAGTTTGCGAATATCAGACATCCGAACATTGTTGGCTTGAGAGGGTATTATTGGGGTCCTACACAGCATGAGAAGCTCATTCTTTCGGACTATATCTCGCTCGGAAATCTCGCAGTCTTTTTATATGGTAAGATCGATCTTTCAGATGATTCTTTCTTGCTTCGAGTTTGAATCGTTTCCTGCAAATAACAAAACTTGCTTTCAGATCGTCCGGGACGAAAACGACCATTGACATGGGCTCAAAGACTCAAGATAGCCGTTGATATCGCACGTGGCCTGAACTATCTCCATTTCGATCGAGCTGTTCCACACGGGAACCTTAAGGCAACAAATGTACTACTAGATGGAGCAGACCTGAATGCTCGTATAGCTGATTACTGCCTTCATCGTCTCATGACTAATGCTGGCACCGTCGAACAGATTCTTGACGCCGGGGTGTTAGGCTATCGTGCCCCGGAGTTGGCAGCTTCGAAGAAGCCACAGCCGTCCTTCAAGTCGGATGTGTATGCATTTGGAGTGTTGCTGTTGGAACTTCTGACTGGAAGATGTGCTGGTGATGTGATCTCTGGTGAAGAGGGAGGGGTCGATCTAACAGATTGGGTGCGTTTACGGGTGGCCGAAGGACGGGGATCTGATTGTTTCGATACGATATTGTTGTCCGAAATGAGCAATGCAGTAGCTGAGAAGGGTATGAAGGAAGTGCTCGGTATAGCTTTACGATGTATTCGAACCATATCGGAACGACCTGGTATCAAGACGATATATGAGGATCTTTCGTCCATATAGTTTGTTTGTTTTGTATCATTAGCTTCTTATTTCTGAATTAGATGAAGTCTCAGTTTAGCTCACCTTGTTAGTGTAATCAGTTGTAAAAAAAAAAAGAACATGCTTTGAATTAATACAAGGAATTTCCACCTTTTGTCCCTTCCACTATGGAATTTTTTGACCCTGTGAGATTCAGGCCAAGGACATTTTTGTCTTTTCCTTTTTGTTCGTTTGCTTGTCTTATCCGGTGTTTTTCCCTTTTCGTAAGTGGTCGTTTGATTCTAGAGCCTGCCTAACAACCTTTCTTTAATTAAGACTTTACTCTTCTTGAGCATTTGAATAAAGTAGACCATTTATTCGACACTTGAGTCACTTTTGATTACATGTTCGAAATTCAAACTTTTTTATTTGTCACGTGAGAATGTCATGTTAAAGACATGACTCTGATATCATATTAAGAATTACAAGCCTCTACAATAGTACGATTATCGTTCACGTTGAGTATAAGTTCTCATGACTTTGTTTTTGGTTTCCTGAAAAGGCCTCGTTTTAATGGAGATAATATTTCTTACTTACAAACCACGATGTTCCTCTTAATTAGCCAACGTGAGACTTCTCTCTCAACAATTCTTTTCGGGTTGGCGGATAACGTAATACTTTAAGGATCAAATCTTGTAAATTTCGTAATCACGATTACAGATTCGAGTGGACTAAAGAACCATTCGGGTTCGCGAATCGGGCCACTTAGATCTTGGTTTTGCTTCACAAATTGAAAATTGAACACCCAATGGAGAATTTGACAGAATCAGCTCATGAGTATCAAGTTTTTTGGGAGTGGAATTGCAGCAAATGAAGAACTACTCGAGCTATCATTGAATTTTTTTAAAAATAATAATACCCGGAACCCGGGGAGTGACCCGACCCGACCCGGCTCGTTACTTGAGTCTGGACACGTGTGGAGTAAATGAAATTTTCAACGGCTAGTAATTAATAAAACGGCCACTTTTTTTTCTCTCTTCTTCTCCCCACTCACAGGACATCATCATCGCTTCTCTCCGTATTTGTTCTAACCAGAATAATCCCATGCAAGATTCAAAGAAGAAGAAGTGTTCTAATCCAAGAAGGAAAATTTAAAATCCACAGAAGAAAACTTGTTTTTCTTGGGCGAGAAAGTGAAAACGAAAATTTTCTCGGGAAAATTCAGTGGAATTTGTGAGGGGATTATGCCACCCATGTGGATGAACAGCGGCAAGAACAACTTACCCGGCAGGGGGTTTTCCACCCCTCCGCCATCGTGGAAATCGAGGCCTTTCCGGTCACCGCAAACGGCGGCGTTTTCAGAGAGGAAAAGATCGACACCCAATTCTGTCAATAAACCTGATCTTTTTCATGTCATTCATAAAGTTCCCTCTGGGGACTCTCCCTATGTTAAGGCAAAGCAAGTTCAGGTTTGTGTAAACTTTTGAATTTTGGGTTTGAGTTCTTTTGTTGATTACTACAGAATTTTGCTCTGTTTTTGTGATTTGAAGTTTCTGGTTCTTTGTTTCTTTATGATCATTGGGTTTGTTTAGTCTAAGAAAGTGGATCATGTGGGGGGTTTGATTGAGCTGATTAGAAACCTAAAGAAATGTGTGAGATTCCACGTCCATTGGGGAGGAGAACGAAACGTTCTTTATAAGGGTGTAAGCCCGAAAGGGAAAGCCCAAAGAAGACAATATCTGCTAGTGGAGGGCTTGGACAGTTACAAATGGTATCAGAGTTAGACACCGGACGATGTGCCAACGAGGAGGTTGTTCCTCGAAAGGGTAGACACGAGATGGTGTGCCAGTAAGGACGTTGGCCTCAAAAGGGGTGGATTTGTTAAGGGTCCCACATTGATTGGAGAAAGGAACGAGTGCCAGTGATGTCGCTGGGTTCTGAACGGGATGAAGTGTGAGATCCCACATCGGTTGGGGAGGAGAATGAAGTCCTGAAGGGGGTGGATTGTGAGATCCCACGTTGGTTGGGGAGGAGAATGAAGCCCTGAAGGGGGTGGATTGTGAGATCCCACATCGGTTGGGAGGAGAACGAAACACCCTTAGGGGTGTGGGTGGATTGTGAGATCTCACCTCGGTTGGGGAGGAGAACGATGGATTGTGAGATTCCACCTCGGTTGGGTAGGAGAACAAAGCCCTGAAGGGGGTGGGTTTGTGAGATCCCACATCGGTTGGGGAGGAGAACGAAGCCCTGAAGGGGGGTGGATTGTGAGATCCCACGTGGTTGGGGAGAAGAACGAAGCCCTAAAGGGGGGAGGATTGTGAGTTCCCACATCGGTTGGGAAGGAGAACGGAACACCCTTAGTGGTGTGGGTGGATTGTAAGATCCCACCTCAGTTGGGGAGGAGAACAAAACCCTGAAGGCTGGTGGATTGTGAGATCCCACCTCGGTTGTGTAGGAGAACAAAGCCCTGAAGGGAGTGGATTGTGAGATCCCACGTCGGTTGGGGAGAAGAACGAAAGGGTGTGGAAACCTCTACCTACTAGATGCGTTTTAAAAACCTTGAGGGCAAGTCCGAAAAGGAAAACCTAAAATAGACAACATACTTGGGGTAGCAGTGTTGTTACAAATGAACACATTCCATGGAAATGATGAATCTTAGGCCATTTTTGGTTCTGCAGTTGATAGACAAAGATCCGGGTAAGGCTGTTTCTCTGTTTTGGGCGGCGATAAACGCCGGAGATCGAGTGGACAGTGCACTGAAAGACATGGCTGTAGTGATGAAGCAATTGGACCGGTCTGACGAAGCGATTGAGGCGATCAGATCGTTTCGCCATCTCTGTCCTTACGATGCTCAGGAATCTATTGACAATGTCTTGATTGAATTATACAAGGCAAGAACTTCTTTTGTTCTTTTGGTTATTGTAAAGAAGAAGACAGTATTTCATGTTGTGTGTTCTTGCAGAGATCTGGAAGGATACAAGAAGAGATTGATATGCTTCAATGCAAACTTAAACAAATCGAAGAAGGCACGGTTTTTGGAGGGAAGAGGACGAAGGCCGCGAGATCCCAAGGGAAGAAGGTGCAAATTACCATCGAGCAAGAGAAATCGAGGTAGGTATCGAGTTTGTTTTCGTTCTTTTCTTGATCGATTCGGTATTAGACTGATTGTTGAGGATTGTTGGGAGGGAGTCTCACGTTGGCTAATTTAGGGAATAATCATGAGTTTATAAGTAAGGAAAACCACGAAGGTTTATGCTTAAAGTGGACAATATCTAGAGATTCGTGATTTCTAATATGGTATCAGAGTCATGTCATGTCAATAGAATTCTCAAGTATTGAACAAAGAAATTGCTAGCCTCGAAAGTGTAGTCAAAAGTGACTCAAGTGTCGAACAAAAAGATGTACTTTGTTCGAGGACTCCAAGAAGGAGTTGAGCCTCAATTAAGGGGAGGCTGTTCGAGGGCTCCATAGGCCTCGCGGGAGGCTCTATAGTATACTTTGTTCGAATGGAGGTAGTCAAAAGTAACTCAAGTGTCGAACAAAGAGTGTACTTTGTTCGAGGACTCCAGAGAAGGAGTCGAGCCTCGATTAAGGGGAGGCTGTTCAAGGGCTCCATAGGCCTCGGGAGAGGCTCTATAGTGTACTTTGTTTGAGGGGAGGTAGTCAAAAGTAACTCAAGTGTTGAACAAGGTGTACTTTATTCGAGGACTCCAGAGAAGGAGTCAAGCCTCGATTAAGGGGAGGGTGTTCAAGGACTCCATAGGCCTTGGGAGAGGCTCTATAGTGTACTTTGTTCGAGGGGGAGGATTGTTGGGAGGGAGTCCCACATCGACTAATTTAGGAAATGATCATGAGTCTATAAGTAAGGAATACATCTCCATTAGTACGAGACCTTCTAGGGGAAGCCCAAAAGCAAAGCTATGAGAGCGAATGCTCAAAGTGGCACAATATCATACCATTGTGAAGGTCCGTGATTCCTAATACTGACACGAGCTCTTTTTTCCAACTCAGAGTTCTTGGAAACTTGGCCTGGGCTTTCTTGCAGCTGGACAACGTCTATGTCGCCGAAGACTATTACCGGTAAGTCGATATTGTGTTGGTATACTACGATCCATTGTGGTTTAGATTCTTACTCTTGTGACCTGCTTGTATGAGCTAGATTTTGTCATGTTTTTTCCAACATCCAAGGCAACATTAAGTTCATAACTACCAAGACTTGAACCTCTAAAAGCTAGTTTTTATTTTGACATCTAAAGATACTGTCCCTTTTGTTGTGTTACTATGTTTTTAAGGATGTTTCGGACATGACTTAAGAAAGTATTACGTGTTGTTTTACAGGCGAGCGTTGTCACTCGAGTCAGACAACAACAAAAAATGCAATCTTGCAATATGTTTGATCCTTACGAATCGACTCGTGGAAGCGAAATTTCTGCTTCAGTCTGTAAGAGCTTCTTCTGGAGGCAAGCCAATGGAAGAATCATATGCCAAATCCTTTGAACGTGCATCTCATATGCTGGCTGAAAAAGAATTAAAGACCGGAGACGATAACAGCACCGTGATGACGATAACCTCGACTGCTAGAGCTCGGCCGCCGTCTTCTGTTTCTTCTCGTGTCACTGCATCGACAATGTGGACTTCGGACGATAACGTAAATGATCATATTCGGGACGATCATCGACATAATTATCTGTGTTGCAATGAAAAGCTAGTGAAAAGTAACTCCAGCATTCCCATCAAAATGAAGGCATATAACCAAGATGAGAGTTTCAACTGTAGCTCGTTATATTCGTCACCGACTCGACCAAGACGAAACATCGAAGTTCCGTTCACTCAACCGAAAAACTCCTTTTGGGAATTCGATACTCGACACCGGAGGCAGCGAAAAGGAACAACAACTAATGGTTCGAGTAGTCTTGTAGATGATGATGCTTGTTCTGAATCGGAAGGAACTCGAACGACATCGAATTATAAGTCGAAGTATAAGCCTACAGCTCTCATTGCTGCTGTTGAACTCGAAGTTCCATTTACACAACCGAGGAGTTGTTCGTGGGGTATTAACAGAGGAGGATGTTCGAGAAAGGCGACCGAGTGCTTTCGAGGTTTGCCTCGGAGTAGAAAACTTTCATTCGAGCCTCGGATGAACACCGAAAATATTCAAAGATCTGAACTCAATGAACCTCAAGATCTTGATGATTGGAAGCAGAATTCTTGTGAAGATATCGAGTATGAGGATGTTACAATGTCGTACGACCGGATCGTAAAGGAAGACGACGATCAAAAGATCAAGCGGAATTCATCAACAGTTGGTGAGAAGAAGAGTTGGGCAGATCTAGTTGAAGAAGACGAAGACGACAATGACGAGAGGGAAGAAGATCATACTACCGAAGCAACATCGTCGAGTGGAGGAGGTCATCGAGTCGATTGCTTCGGCCATTGGAGCAGTGAAAATGAAGAGGAGGAGTTCAATAATGAGAATCTGAATTCCAATATACTCCACAAGAACAACAGTCCAAGCAACAATCAACAGGTTGAAGACGACTCGGTCGACGTCGTTTCATCGACAAATCCAGCAATTCGACGCCCTTTATACTTCAATCAACAGCCTATGGTCGACACGATGGATAACTGCCGCTCCTCGCCATTTCCGGCCGCCATGGCCGGAGAGAATGTGAACTTGATGAGGAGTAGCAGATTGCAAGTATTCCAAGAGATAACAGTGCATCATCAAGAGAGCTAGAATGTTATTAAAAAAAAAAAAAAACTATCTCTTTTTCACATTTTCAGTTGTTTTTTGGTTGTAAATAATTTTGTAAAGGAAGCTTCTTATACTAATACAAAATACCCATTATACCCTCCTTTAGATACTTTATTTTTGGAATTTTTTTGGGTAAAAAAGAAATCATATAATTTCATTTAAATGAAAATGCATTAAAATTAATCATGTTAGTTTTATTTTATTTTATTTTATTTTGATAATGTTCTTAAAATTATCAAAATACCCATTATATCCTCCTCTAGATATTTTATTTTATTTTGATAATGTTCTTAAAATTATCGATACCCATTATACCCTTCTTATACTAATACAAAATACCCATTATACCATCCTCTAGATATTTTTTTTTGGAATTTTTTTGGTAAAAAAAAATCATATAATTTCATTTAAATGAAAATGCATTAAAATTAATCATTTTAGTTTTATTTTATTTTGATAATGTTCTTAAAATTTTCAAAATACCAATTATACCCTTCATACTAATACAAAATATCCATTATACCCTCCTCTAGATACTTTATTTTTGGATTTTTTTGGGTAAAAAAACCATATAATTTCATTTAAATGAAAATGCATTAAAACTAATCATGTTAGTTTTATTTTATTTTGATAATGTTCTTAAAATTATCGAAATACCCATTATACCCTTCGTATACTAATACAAAATACCCATTATACCATCCTCTAGATATTTTTTTTGGATTTTTTTTGGTAAAAAAAAATCATATAATTTCATTTAAATGAAAATGCATTAAAATTAATCATCTTAATTTTATTTTATTTTGATAATGTTCTTAAAATTCAAATTAAATGGTGAAAAAAGTTTTACTTTTGTTTTTCAAAATGCTTCTTTTAAGAAACAAAAAAAAAAAAAAAAAAAAAAAAAAAAAAAAAAAAAAAAAAAAAAAAAAAAAAAAAAAAAAAAAAAAAAAAAAAAAAAAAAAAAAAAAAAAAAAAAAAAAAAAAAAACAAAATTATAGTAAAAAAATAAAGGTAAGAAATCTATTTCTTTGGATTTTTTTTTTAAATTACTAAAAAACAAATACTCTTACAATTTTAAGGGTATCTGAAATTTATAGTACTTAAAAAAAAGATAATTAAAATAATTCCAATATATATTTTTCTTATATTAAAAACAAAGTTTTTTTTTTCAATAAAAAAAAAATAAATATAACTTTCATTCTACTAAATTGGGATATTTGTATTATTATTGTTATTTTTTTTTAACGAGAATTAATAATTTTAGCGTAAAAATTAATTTATATTCCTAAAATAATAAAGGTATTATTTTAAGCCCTAATGATCGATAGTTGAATCAATTTAGATAATTTATTAATAATTTATAACCTTTTCTTAAATAAAATTATTATTCTTTTAGAATTCTCCAAAATATCGAAATAAATTACCTACCATTCTTTTTAAATAAATAGAACAAAATTTAGGAAAAAGGAGAAATATGAAAAATATTGATATTAATAATAATAATAAAAACTACTACTATTTATTTATTTATAGCAATTCTCTTTAATTTACGTTAGTTTTATAATTACACATTATAAAATTTAAAATAATATTTAAGGATATATTAATAAATTATGGGTTTGTTTTTTTAATCAAAATTTATTATTAAGATTTTGTTTAAAATTTTCTTTTTGTTTTTTAAGAAACTTAAGAAAATAATTTAAAATTAAATAGTTCTTAAATTCCTTATAGAAAGTAGAAAATAAAATAAAAAATTTAATTAAGAAAAAAATATTTATTTTTTACGCAGAATTTTGTGGTCTCTTTCTTCTGTCACCGGCGCCGTTTGTTGCTCTGGATCTCTTTACACTCACTCATTTTGGGGCACAGAATCTTGTACGATCATCGTCGGCTCCGCCGTGTCCTTGCTGATTCTCGCCGATACTGCCTCCGACGAAGTCCATTTCCGCTGGTATTGCCTGAAATCATTCTTCGGTTTGTTTCTATCCGGAGTGATTTTTTGTTTTCATTTTTGTTAGCTGTTGCAATGTTCGAAGGTTGATCGTAGACTTTCTAATGTTTTCTGGATATATTTCGCTAATTTATGAAGCCGCGCTCTAATCAATCTGATTGAAGGTGATTATGGACAGTCAGATTATAAGCTTGAATTGGAGGTGTAATTGCTTGGTTCAACAACGTATAAAGCGGAATTTTCGAACTCTGCGTGTTCCAAAATCTGCTTCTTTCCGGACTTCTTACCTTCCAGGAGGTATGGTTCTGTATTTTTGTCTATGCTTTCCTACACCTTGTGTGTGAATATGGTGAACGAGGTTTAGGAGTAAATGCTGTAGAAATTTATATTGATTGCATTTGATTAAACAAGAAATTGAAAATGGCTTTTGAGAACGATGGTTAGTCAAATTCTTAGTGTTTCCTAAATATTCCAATATCTAGATTTTCGATTTTAACCACCTAAGAATTCTTAGTGTTACCTAGATACAATTGTCGTCATTCTAATATTTTCTAGATTTTAACCACCTAAGAAGAGCTATGTAGAGTCAGTTATTTTCGATTAGGAGCTTTGTTTATAAAAAATTATTGAAGACTGAATAGTTTTTAGCTTCCAATTCTGGCTGTGGTTTAGATGGACTTTGTTGAAAATTTTGTGCCTCTTCATGTCTTCCTGCTTGCTCCTTTTTATCCTTCACTCTGTATGGTCTTTTGTTTCTAACAGGAACTTTGAGTAAAGGCATAAAGTGTGCAATGAAGTCTTATAAGTTATCTGAACTTAATCATGATGCTGTCACTAGTTTAAAGGCTCGCCCTCGTATTGATTTTTCTTCAATATTTGGTGTGGTGAGTTTTATTCGCTTTTTGTCATATTCCTATCACTTCAGTTTCTGTTTAAAACATCTGATTTTAAATTCTATGTTTAGGTCCAGCCCATTGTTGATGATGTTCGAAACAGAGGCGATGCTGCAGTTAGAGAGTAGGTGGTTCTTTTTTTTAGTTTTCATCATATCTGTATTGCTGTGAATCATTTGATATGTGCGTAGATATAACCTCTCTCTAAATTTGCATATTTTGCAGCTATACTGCAAAGTTTGACAAAGTTGAACTCAAAGAGACTGTTGCTAGTGTCTCTGACCTGCCAGAGCCTGAGGTAATTGTGGATAAATTCAGCACCTACATATTTTAACTAATTATTCATTTACACTCGGAGATGAATTTCAATTTTTCTTTTTTTCTCTTTAGGAGTTACATTAAATTGGACATCTTCTTGAGTTTTTCTTTGCAGTTTTCTTGTTGATAAAATGATTGACATTGGAAATTTTTACGTTCGCACAGCTTGATGCAGCTGTCAAAGAAGCATTTGATGTAGCTTATGACAATATCTACGCATTTCATGCTGCTCAGATATCGGCTGAAAAAAGTGTTGAGAATATGCCTGTAAGTTTGCTTCATAATTTGTTATCTTATTCAAAATATGAGCTTATAATCTATGTTATAAGCTTTTTACACAAATATTTCAGGGAGTAAAATGCAAACGGGTGGCAAGAAGCATTGCTTCTGTTGGTCTCTACGTTCCGGGGGGAACTGCTGTTTTACCATCTACGGCTTTGATGCTCGCAATTGTAAGTTACCAGTGCCGTAGAATATTAGTTGCCAAGGATGATCATGAACAATTCTACTTTTTGACATGTTTATCTGTTAGGAATGAGAACTAGGGAATGACACCCATTTTCTCTTGTTATATCTTCATTGTGTACTGAACTTATAAAAATGGGCAATGATTCACAATTTGTGCCTCACCCCAAAATTGAGAGTCATTCCTGTTGATCTTGAAGGTAAGGAATGCCACTCTCATATTTGTGAGTCTCTCTACTTTCTTTTCTCTCTCTATACTGCCTACATACTTTAAACTTTAAACTTTAAACTTTAAACTTTAAACTTTAAACTTTAGGCGAAATACCACTCTAGTTTGAACTTGATTTATATTGTGCATCAATGAACAATATTATTGCAACACAAATTTTATTCTCATTTCTAGATATTTCATTTCGATGTGTCTTCATACTCATTCCTCATTAGTAAATAGCGTTGATGTATAAGTTACCAGATGCATCATTTGACATTTGTTTATTGGCACCAGCCTGCTCAGATTGCTGGTTGTGGAACTGTGGTTCTTGCAACACCTCCCAGTCAGGATGGCAGCGTATGCAAGGTATTTGCTTTACCCTTACATGCTTCAAGTTTATCATGTCTTGGGATAAATAAAATAAATAAATAAATACAAATCCTAGCACTAAATGAGGCATATTTTTTTTCAATTATTACATGTAAAGGGACTGACTGATGTCAATTTCTTTAGGAGGTGCTCTATTGTGCGAAGAAGGCTGGTGTGACTCACATTCTTAAGGCCGGAGGAGCTCAGGTCTGTAAACAACTTTTGCTACATATAGAATATGTATTAGATAGACAGATGGTTGAGTTTAATTTGTGATATTAGATGTCAAAAATTAATATTTTTGTGACTGCTGGGCTCTTCTTAATTTGTAGGCTATCTCAGCTATGGCTTGGGGGACAGAATCTTGCCCTAAGGTAATACTATATTGAGTTTTGTGTCATTCTGACAAGCATTTATCATGTAGAGTTAGAATTCGTTTATTTATAGCCAAGTCAGTTGTTTCTCACAGATTTCTAAAGATTGATGTCAATTTTGTCTGTAATACTTGAACCAGAAGCATATAAATATCCCTTATAGAGTGAGAACTTCAGTGAATGGATTGTAGCACTCTCAAGCAAGAAATAGGGTCTAAGTCTTGAATATCTGAAACATGAGATAGTATTGCCTTGTGTAGTAGTCGTTTCATGATAATGCATATTAAAAATAATTTGGCACTATATTTGATAATAATCAATCTATTTTTTCTTAATTAATTCTGATATGTTTTCGTCAAATTGTGTTCATGTTTATATATAAATATGCTGTGGGATATATATAAATATATATTTTATGAAAATATATTTTGGTTGAGCTTCCTTGAGAGTTAATTGCTTCTTTGATTGCAGGTTGAGAAAATATTTGGCCCTGGTAATCAATATGTAACAGCTGCCAAAATGATTCTTCAAGTATGATTCCTTTTTGTTTTTTTTTTTTCATTTTCCTACGTTTTAAATTTATTTACATGGGGGACCTGAAGAACATCTAATAATATCGTAGTTTCTTATTCATGAGAATTAATGTTCAAAATGGAGGATGCCCTATTGTTGATCCTTTTGATGCAATAATGGTCTTATTTAGAGGAGTCAACATTTTCCATGGGACTCCCCATGGGGACTTACCTTGAGCAGGGCAGGTATTTCCATTTTAAATGAGGATAAAAAATTTATTTTCCATTTTATTCTGAGGACGGGGATGCATTCCTGTCTTTGAACTCAGCCGTGATCTCCTATCCTAAAAAATAGTACTACAATAATATAGTTTATATATGCCCCCCACCCCCACCCACCAAAAATAAGAGAAGCCCGGCAACAGAAAGTCCAAAACTAAATGAAGGAAAGTTCCAGGAGCCCTACCCGATCCCCGCCCAATTTAATGGGTGTTTTCATGGATGGATAATGATTTGGAGAGTAGGGACGGGGATGAGAAAGCATTACCCATCGCCACTCTGTCCTATCATGTTCCAGAGCTACTGATGCTAACTTCAGAAAGTTCAAAAAAATACTTTTGATCTTTAGAAAAAACATTCAAAAACCCTTACTGTTAGATTTTGGATGGAAAGCGTTAAGGTTTCATTTCAATACTACTCCTGGACTTTTAAAAGTTTAAAAAATATCTCCAATCTTTCAAAAATGTTCAAAAATACCTTTATCGTTAAGTTTTGGATGGAAAACGTCAAAGTTTTGTTTCAATAATACTTTTGGCATTGAAAATACTCTTACTGGAAAATGTTTCTTCCTCTTCCTGGCTCAGCAGTGTCTTCCTCCATAAAATTAGTGAGAGTGAATGAATTATTAACTTTTGAAAGGTCGTAGTAACAATTTGACCAAATAAGCTTCAAAAACCCAAAATCCATAACCATAACCGTCACTTTGTGGGATCAATTTCTAGTTTGATTTTTTTGTCATTATTTAGTTTGCTTAACAAGTGTTCAATGTGTGTAAAAAAAAGTTAGACCTATATTCACTTCGTACAACTAGGATCTAACTCATCTATTGTGTTAACTAATGTCTGTAGCGTTTCTTAGATGAAGATTATAAAAACATTGGTTTGCCATGCACTCGAATTGTTATTTTAGAATCAATTTGTACTTAGAAATTGAAAAAATAAACCTCTATTTCCTAGAAGTTTGATAAACATTTTAACTATATGGCCAATTTTTTTTCGGGGACAGAATAGTGAAGCTATGATCTCAATTGATATGCCTGCGGGGCCTTCAGAAGTTCTGGTTATTGCTGATAGATATGCCAGCCCAGTTCATATAGCAGCAGATCTACTTTCCCAGGTTATTAGTTATTAAACTTCCTCTGTTTCCTATAGCATAGGAGCACAAAATTCCTCTAGATTATACTTCAAATTTGGACAACAATTATGTGAAAGAAGTTTTTTCTTATTCTCTTGTGTTGCATGCAATTGACGAGTGAGTTCTCTTTTGTCATCCCTGGTTGTGATTGTTCGACTAGCATAAGAGAAACTTTGTCTGATTCATTTATTTTTGAGTGTGGTTGACGATTATCTACACCTGACATGTCAGCAAATAATATGCAGGCCGAGCATGGCCCCGACAGTCAGGTAGTTCTTGTAATTTCTGGTGATGGTGTGGATCTTAAAGCTATTGAAGAGGAACTCAGCAAACAATGTAAAAGTCTTCCAAGGGGAGAGCTTGCTTCAAAAGCACTGAGCCACAGTTTTACTGTGTTTGCTCGTGATATGGTTGAGGTTTGTTATCTTGGATAAATGGTTTGAATTGCATCCACGTAAGGAAATGCTGATGTAACTAAGAGGTTTTGGTTAATCATGGAAACTTACCACAACTTAAACATATGGAACAAGAAAGTAAAAATAAATCAGTCATGCATTGTTTAAATTGGTCGTATCAATATTGATGTAAGTCGTGTCCAGAAATATATTGTTATTAAGTTGATATTTAGCCTTACTTTTAGATTTGACTGCCACTATCAATGTTAGAGGGAAGAAAAATACTACTACTGCTATTGCTATACCAAGGGAATCTATAGACGTAAACTAATAACGTGTTTCTAACTAACAAGTAGCAACAAAGAATTCCTGGAAATTTTCTTTACTCTAAATTGAATTTGTTTCTGCATGAAGATTTAGTACATATACCGTCAGTTCAAATATGTGCTCGACGAATCTGCCTGTTATTGGATTTTTGCTAAATTATTATTTCAGAATCTCTTCGCCATCTCATGTTTTTTGGAACTTAGTATAGTTGTTTTGATTCTCAGGCAGTCTCTTTTTCAAACTTATATGCACCTGAACATTTGATAATTAATGTCAAGGATGCAGAAAAGTGGGAGAGTTTCATTCAGAATGCAGGTATCTTCTGAGAGTTGTTTATCTTAATTCAAGCTTGTACTCTACACTTTACTAGCTTTTAGGCTATTATTACTAGAGGTTTGTATATATATTTAAAGAAAGTTACGAAACAGCGGCTCTCATTAAAAAATTATTGAGTTATATCAGAGTCTAGATCTCCATTCGGTTATAACCTTTGAGTGACTATAGTTACAAAAGGATTTGGTAGGATACTACTAGAGTAACTCTCACATATTTTACACCATTAAAACTGTCAGAGATCTGAAATATTATCTATCTCGTGTTTCTTAGACTGTAAAAGAACATAGTAACATTCATCCAACTCAAATTCAGTTCAATTGTTCCCTTGGAGCTTACTCTCTCAAGTATACCATGAAACTGCTAAATACAAATTAGGTCCGGAGTTTGTAAACACACGTCGGTTGTTATATCAAGCCAATCTTGTCTATATAGAGTTAGTCGTAGCTCGTTATTCAATATAGGCATAGCCAGATTCCTGTTTGTTGACATTGGTTGGTTGTAGTTGACAGCTTAGGCACTTTTTAACTATAATTGCATGTCCTACCTAATGAACTTTGTTTTTATCTTGCAGGTTCTGTTTTCTTGGGGCCATGGACCCCAGAAAGCGTGGGGGATTATGCAAGTGGGACAAATCATGTTCTTCCAACCTATGGTTATGCACGGATGTATGGTGGAGTTTCACTTGACTCGTTCTTAAAATACATCACAATTCAGTCTTTGACTGAGGAAGGCTTAAGAAAACTTGGCCCGTATGTCGAAAAAATGGCTGAAGTTGAGGGCCTAGATGCCCATAAAAGAGCTGTAAGTCTTCGATTGAAGGATATTGAAGCCAGGCAGATCTCAACCTCAAGGTGATTGTCAAGATACCTTATGTAGTGCCTATTTATGGAAAATTTAAACTTTCGATTTTGACTATCCATCAGGGAACTATAACTACTTTCTTGGCTGCTGTTTGTTGTAAGATAACATTGATGAATGACTCTTGAACTTTGAGATGTCAGAGTGTATAAACACCATTAGAAGGAAGCAACCTTTACAACATTTATCTTTATATTTGTGATTTCAAAATTCCATTTCTTGGAGAGGTTTCAGGCTGTTAAAAATGCACTTGGTTTGGTTGATACCGTATGCCTGGTATGGTAATTACCGTAAGAAACGATTACATCAATGTAAGATTACAATAAAGGAGGAGAGGCCATCATTGGACACTCTTTCATGGAGGTGAAAAAGGTACTTCGGCACTACTTTTTATTTGCTTTCTTATCGAATTTATGGTTGGAAAGGAATGCTCGCATCTTCATTGATAAGCAATAAAGCATCGAGTGTCTCATTGATCTACTATTTACCTTACTATTTTATGGAGTAAGCATTATCCTCTCTTTTGTAATTATAGTTTGACCACCCTCAAAGCTCAGTGGAGGTGTTTTTGTAATTATATTTTCGATAGGACTTTTTGTATCTATTTCATATATCAATGAAATGTTTTCACTTTCTTATCCAAAAAAATAATATTAAAAAAAAAGAGGAAAAACGCCAAGCCCAAAGCCAAAGGAGATAAGAGAATAATCTTCCTAATTTTTATAAGAGAAACATTGTAATTGTTCCAAGCAAAGATAAGTCTACAAGAAAAGAAAGTTTAGTTTTCTATATTAGATTCCAAAAAGATGCTCTAGTGAAGTGGAGAATAAGCATCTTTTTGTTTCTGTTGAAAGGACGACCTGCAAAAATCACAGAAAGGAAGGTGCTGATGTCCCTAGGGATAGCCAAGCACCCATTGTTTGTTGGATAAGATAAACTTCCAGAGATTACCAACATATATAAGAACAGTTAACAAAGAGTGGCTTTGTAATTCCATGTCTTTCTTGATTCTTTATTATACTTCCTTGGCTGTTGCATCTTGGAACCTAAATAAGAGATGCACTTGAACTGCAAATGATATTTCTTTTAGAAAAATTCAATGCCTGGACTGCATATGACAAACTAGCAGAAGTAAATGATTCTTTAGAACAATTTCATTTATCAACTCTTCTGTCATTCTGATTTGTAGCTTTCTAATCTAGAACTTAGTTTGAAGGTAGCCAATAGCCTTTTTATTGATTTGAAAAGATTTCTCTATAATGTTACTGGAAATATTTGGAATAGACCCAAATACTGCATTTGCAACTATGATCACTCCAGGGTTCTGGCTGCTAAGAGCAGCAATAGCAACTGCATTGGTAGGACCTGGATTTCTCTGGTAGTGAACAAGACCAACAGGGAAGACAAATGCATCTCCCTTTTGTAACACTTTCCCTATATGTCGATTTTCAGGAAATGATGTGATGAATCCGACTTCTAAGCTGCCTTCCAAGACGATCAATATCTCGGAAGCTCGAGGATGTGTGTGTAGAGGGTTGATGCCTTGTGGTGCATAGTCTATTCTAACGATGGAGAGGCCAAGAGTGTTGAGTCCTGGCATTTCTGATGGAGTAACTGGAGTCACATGACACCCCAGTGCATTTGATGTGTTAGCTGCAAGGTGAAGGCCGCTGAAGGAAAAGTCATCAGCTACAACTTCCTTTGGGTCCTTGCAGGTTAGTCCATTTAGTAACACTGCAATCAGTTGCTAACAATATCAGATGCTTTAGTGATTGGATTCACAAGAAGAAGAAAAATTAGTGCTAGCAGAATCATGGAAAAGGACAGCATCTAAGAAACTTTATTTTTTCTGATAATGATGACAAATAACTTAGAAAGAAAGCATATCATGATTATCCTTGTAACAGCTCAAGCCCACCGCTAGCAGATATTATCTTCTTGGAGTTTTTTCTTTTGGGCTTCCCCTCAAGATTTTTAAAATATGTTTGCTAGGGAGAGGTTTTCATACCCTTATAAAGAATGTTTCGTTCTCCTCCCCAACCAATGTGGGATCTCATAATCCACCCTCTTCGGGGCCCAGCGTCCTCGCTGGCACTCGTTCCCTTCTCCAATTGATGTGGGACCCCCCAATCCCACCCCCCTTCGGGGCCCAGCGTCCTCGCTGGCATTCGTTCCCTTTTCCAATTGATGTGGAACCCCCCAATCCCACCCTCCTTCGGGGCCCAACGTCTTTGCTGGCACACTACCTCATGTCCACCGGGGCTCAGCCTCCTCGCTGGCACATCGCCTAGTATCTGACTCAGATACTATTTGTAACAGCCCAAGCCCACCGCTAGCAGATATTGTCTTCTTTAGGTTTTCTCTTTCGGGCTTCCCCTCAAGGTTTTTAAAACGTGTCTACAAGGGAGAAGTTTCCACACCCTTATAAAGAATACTTCACTCTCCTCTCCAACCAACGTGAATCTCATAATCCTTCATAAATCTGACAAGGATGCAAGTAGGAAAGAAGGAAGGAGAAACTAGGGGGTTAGAATATTTATCTTCACATGACAGTTAATGGAATAAAGAGAACAAATGAGATGCATTAGCAGGAATGAATATGATTACTGATTAGTATTATACGTCGGTTGGTTATGCCTGTAGAAATAGGCAAAAAACATGTAGCTAAGCTAGAGGTTTCCGAGGATTTAGAGAATAAGAAGATGTTCTTCTTTCTCTTGACATATCCTAGATGGTGCTAGTAAGACTCCTGAACCGTTTCCAGTTCAATCTATCTTACTAGCAACTCAGATAAATATGTTAAAACAAGGGAAGAACAGGGGAGATCAAACAAATACCCGTGCTTCCATTATTTGCTACACAGAAATCTTGAATAGGACTCTGATCAGATGCGAAGGCAAGAAAGAAAACTAATGCTAGAAATGAAATAGCCAATATACAAGCAGAACTGGCCATAATAAACAAGGAAAAGAAAGGGTCTGGAAGTTTGGCTTAGGAACAAAAGGTGATATTGAGTCAAATTTACTCAATGTTTAGTTTGTTAGAGAAGGAATGAAGAAACTGAGGTATTTATAGGAAGAAATTGAGAAATTGGGTGCAAAAAAGGCCCAGTATTCAACAGTGTGCAAACCTTTTCTTAGTAGACGTGTTTTAAACTCGTGAGACTAACGGCGATACGTAACGGGCCAAAGCAGACAGTATTTCCTAGTGGTAGGCTTGAGCCGTTACAAATGGTATTAGAGCTAGACACTGAGTGATGTGCCAACGAGGATACTGGGCCCCTGAGGAGTCGGGGATGGATTGTGAGATCCCACATCGGTTGGAAAGGGGAACAAAGCATTCCTTGTAATTGTGTGGAAACCTTTCCCTAACAGATACGTTTTAAAACCGTGAGACGTACGACAATACGTAATGGGCCAAAGTAGACAACATTTGCTAACGGTGAGTTTGGGCTATCTTTTCAGGCTCTGAAAATCAGTCAACAAAGTCTTTTTTGGTGCCTCAAGGACTAAGCGTGAGGCTATGACTGTGATGTTTAGTTTCATCTTAGAATATGTGAAGGAAATGTTGAGAAAGGAGTGACCCAAAAACCTGATTTTTGTTGGCTATTAGAAAGGAACAAAGTTATGGCTCTTTCCCATGCGCACTCACATGTAGGGAACATGTGGGACCCATCCTCCCTTTTGTATTCACAAAACCATAGTCAGCTTTTTGTCTTTGAATTTTGTGTCTAAATTTTCTCATTCTTTGATGGGTGTCTTCATGAATAAGTCGATTCTTTTTATTATTAACTCTTTCATTGGTTTTGGTAAATTGTTCTTAGAAACTGTTTTCTAAAGGTCAGTGAAATTATATTTGCAATTTGTTTTCGATTATATATATATATATATATATTAATCAAAAGCATTTATTGTTGAATGTTTATGAAAGTTCTCGGGACGAAATGCTAAAGGAATACCCAGAAACACATCTACAAAAGCTTCGAATCGAAATCTACAAAAAATCGACGCCCTTTCATTCCCTACTACAACTTTGTTCTCTCTTCTTATACTCCAAAATAATCAAAGAAAAATGGAAGTAGGGCTAGTCGAATTGTTGACCAGGGCCTTTAGGCTCAAAAGGTCTAATAAAGTATACAACGAACTCTTTGAACATTAGACTCAACTAATCTTCCCGAGTAGAACATAGGATATGTTTACTTCTCTGGAATCATAATCAATTAACGAGAATCTCTAATTATGGATTACATGTGATTACGCTTATGACATTTTGTAATGAGAGTTAAAGTATGAAGTTAGATGAAGTGATGTTAGGGAAGAAGAAGATTCAGAGGATATTTGCCTATAATTTTTAACCATATTTACATATCCACGAGAGCTCAACTCTTATCAATATTGAGATTTAGATCGAGAGTTAACATTTTCGATTTTAATCTATGATTTTTGGTCATATTGATATCATGATGAGCTAAATTGATATGATGTTTATTACTATAGCTTTTAACCGTAATTTTTTGCTATTACGATATTAAGATGAGCTAAATCGATATTGTGTTTTAATGTGAATTGGAAGGAAAGACGAAAGATGAATGAGACGGAACCTAATTGAACTAGGGTTGAACTATTCAAACACTCTTTTACTCGACAGTAAACACTCAAGATGAATGAGAGTGAATTGTCAGGAAAGACTCAACATTCTTGATCTTCTCCAGATTGAACTTGTGTAAAAACCATCAATAAAGAAATTCGTAAGCAATCTTCATTGGCACAAGGATCTCCTCACAGCAACCTGTACGACGTACAATGAGTTTACGAAGACTTCGAGTAGTGCGAGATAAATAAGTCAAGTAGGGAAAGATCATTAATAAAGAAAGAGGAGTTGCTTGCCCGAGCTATCTTAAAGTCAAGCTTTCTGGGTTTCCCCTCCCTCTCTATATAGATAGAATAGATCTTTTCATGGATGTAGATCATGTGCAATTCTCGATCATTTTTAGCTATATTTTCGAGAATGAGAACAAGGATAGAAGTCGATTTTCATTAAGTAAAACTAAATATACCCTTAATTCTTTCTCCCAATGACTACAACAATAATAGCCTTAATTCTATGAGGCATTCAATCATGGTTTTTAAGAATTTGACAAACAATCATTTGACTTGTTACATCATGTTCAAAGTTAAAAGTTAAATTTTATTTTTATTTTATTTTATCAAGAATAATAAAATAAATTCCTTTAATAATATAGTTCCAACTTGAGCACCTAAATAAAATTTAAAAACTCCCAAAACTGAGTTTATTTGGTATGTAATTTAATTTTAAAGTTTTTTTTTAATAAAAATTTAAAAGTAGCATATGGCCTCATCATATTTTTATATTGCTATTTACTGAAGTGATTACATATTTTAATGGAGTTATTCATGAAATAAACTCGATTAGCTTTATGCATATGGCCTCATTAATCATTTTTATTGTGGAGAGCGGCCAAGTTCTTTTAAGTTATGAAATTAGTTAGAATCGTTTTCAAAATTTAAGCAGTTTTAAGTTAAATTATAGGTTCGTTTTCAAAATTTAAGCAATTTTAAATTAAATTATAAGTCTCGAATTTGTTTTACTGATAAATCTTGCCATTTCAAAAGTCGATAATGAATCTTTTACCTTATATCTATTTAAAATATTTAGAAGAAAAGTGGTTTTGATTTGATGAGAGGATGGTAGAGTGGAGTAAATGCAATGAAAGTTCCTCACCTAAATTGAATATCATTAATGTCACTTATTTGATATCCTTAATGGAAAAATTGAGTGATTTGCTTCCTACAAATCATGACCTCACAAATGGATTTTTCTTTACCAAAATTGAGCTATTATCTACCTCCACCTTACTTTGAAGGCCAAAGTTTTCCCCCCTTTTATCGGGTTTCGATTCATAACCCCAATTATTAATTGTTACAAATAACTTGATCTAAGTCGTTCATGTGAAGGCATGTGAGTGAAGATATCTTATATAATTCTTGGTATTGTAACAACCCATGTCAGGATTCAAAACCTGAATTCAGTACCTGTGTGCCTCGATATTCTCCTGACAGTGAAGAATATTCCTACAAACTAATATGACTCATTCTAGCATACTTTACACATGCATTTCAAGAAAATTTCTACGAGGTCACCTAAGAGTATTGTTCTAAGTACCCCTAACCATGGAGCTCCTATGATTGAGGCATCGAAAAAGAAGATGCAACTTGTTGGTATAAGTAATGACTTTTAATTTTTTTAATCTCTCTTATCCATATATCCTCAAAATCGTTCTCATCTATTTATGATCACGTTTCATTATGCACTTCTTAAAATATCGCACTTCATCTCCTACAAGTTAGTTTATTAAATGTTTGGAAGATAATGAAGTGCATTTCACAGAGAGATGGTGGAATGAAGTAAATGCAACGTAAAGTTCCTCATCCGATATCATTAAAATGTCAATTAAATGGTAGGTAAACAATAATGACATTTGAAGTTGTGATTTGTGTGCCTATCCTTATAGAAGAAGTGAGTGATTTGTTTCTGTAAATCATGACCTTAGGAGTAGAAACAGGACACACGTTGGGGTCGGGATGCATTCGTCTCCGTAGGTTTTTCTATTCCCGTCCCCGCCCCATTCTCCATTTTAGAAATTCAGAGTCAATACTTTCTACTCAAGCTCCACCATACACTATTTATACCAAAACCCTTGAAAAATTAGAACTCTAGTGGAACAGAACATATGATGTGAGTCGCACATTGCTTTCTACCACATTGTTTTAAACGAAGTTTTACCACAACCTCTAATTTCGTTAAGAACAACTTCTACAAACAAGTGTGTTTAATTTATGTCTAATAAAACACCTCTAATTTCGTTAACAACAACTTCTACCATGAAACCTTTCATATTAAAATATGCCAACCTACTAAATACAAATATCAATCGTTCTAATTCAAACAAAGATATATATTATATCCAAAACCCATCTCTCATTACATTACATGACCCTCACTCACTCCATATATCTGAACAACATGAAAGATTCTACAAACTCCGAACAACAGAAAACAACACCATCATCATAATCACAAACTGAAAATTTAAGTCAATAACAACAAGATTGCAGAGTTTTATAGACAAACCAGGTTGCTGAATGGATGTTGGCTCAAGCAGGGATTTCCTCTTCTTCATCCTCGTATTCTTCCTCTGCAGTTGCATCCTGGTACTGCTGATACTCGGCCACCAGATCGTTCATGTTACTCTCGGCCTCGGTGAACTCCATTTCGTCCATTCCTTCGCCGGTGTACCAATGCAAGAAGGCCTTGCGCCTGAACATGGCTGTGAACTGCTCACTAACCCTCCTGAACATCTCCTGAATTGAAGTCGAGTTACCGATGAAAGTCGATGCCATCTTTAGTCCCTTGGGGGGAATGTCGCACACACTGGACTTGACGTTGTTGGGTATCCACTCAACAAAGTAAGATGAATTCTTGTTTTGTACGTTAATCATTTGCTCGTCTACTTCTTTAGTACTCATCTTACCACGGAACATGGCTGAAGCGGTAAGGTATCGACCATGTCGTGGATCAGCAGCGCACATCATGTTCTTGGCATCCCACATCTGCTGGGTTAACTCTGGCACGGTAAGGGCTCGGTATTGCTGGGATCCTCTTGATGTTAATGGTGCAAAACCAACCATAAAGAAATGTAAACGAGGGAATGGAATGAGATTGACAGCAAGTTTTCGTAGATCAGAGTTCAATTGTCCAGGGAATCGTAAACAACAAGTAACACCACTCATGGTAGCAGAGATAAGGTGGTTGAGATCACCAACTGCAATATGACAATTGAACAAGTAAGAAAAAAATCTGACCAATAAGTTGATATTTTCCATATAAATGTAAAAAATGAATAAAATTACTATAAGATTACGCACTTTTTGGCATTTTCGTTCATGTGAATCTGTGGTTACATTTGTGCATAACATGGTTCACAAGAATTTTTTCCTTTTACTACATACCCAAGTCCACTCTAGCAAATATTGTTCTCTTTGGGCTTCCCTTTTCAGATTTCCCCTCAAGGTTTTTAAAACGCATATACTAGGAAGAGATTTCCACGCTATTATAAAAAATGTTTCGTTCTCCTCCTC